TGAAATACGAATCTTTTATTATCAACGATCGATAATTTACGAAGAGAAATTCAGTCACCATCAAATCTCTCGGGTTTTGGACAACGCGCGAGAAGATAATTTGCATTTTTCTCTACGTTTTAATGGAGAGGCTCAGACTTTTTTCGGACACGTCGGATATTTAAAAAGTTAATTTTTTTTTTTTTTAGAGAGAAATTTCTCTAATAACTTTTCGCACTCGGCCAATGATCTATGAAAATTTTCCGAGTTCTGCCGATCCCCATTGCTTTCTCCGATTCCGAAATATACATTTTTCACATCGACGGACATTGATTGAGTGCGCGCGAGAGAAAAGTAGTAGTGCCGCGAAAATTTACCGGCTCCGGAGTTTTGTTCAACGTGAAATATATCGCGGAGAGAGAGTATATTTTTCTGTTTTTTTTTCTCTCTCTCTCTCTCTCTCTCTCTCTCTCTCCGGCACACGTTGTCGCACAAATTTAATGTAATCGCTCGATTAATAAAACGAAGATATTGTGCGATAAAAATTCTCGCTCAAAAATGCTTCGAACGTTCTCGGAAAGTAATCTCGTTTGATGATACAGAAAGTATTCGAACGTATCGGAGGAACCCGACGTGAGAATTGACATCAGGGAAAAAAAGGGGGGAAGAGAGAGAGAGAGAAAGGTCAGGATGCGGCTCGTTGCTCGTACAGAACGACGACAAACGAAGGTAAAGATGACTGGCCAGATTCTTTAAGTGTTGCCCCAATCAGATCCCATGTCACTCGGTTCATTAATCCATTCAGGACGGAACTCTGAAAAGTTCCGTCCCGCGCCATATTACAGAATTACATTTCGTTCGCGCGCTTAATGACGTGAATACGTAATGGTCGTTCGAATCGCGCGCACTCTCGAGCGTGACGAGATCCAATCGAGTTATCATCTCTTGCGTTGCACTATATATACATAATACACGCATCCTCGGTGTTATAAACCCTTTTGAGGTGTGCCAACCCTCAACGCGCGCGACGCGTCCTTAACGCGCTATCTCCCTGCGTGAGATTTCCGACGCATTCAACGCAAAATACATTTAATGACGACTACGGTCGTCTGAAAGAGAAATTCGTTGCACGGACGTCTGTTAATAATTGCGAAAGATCCCGAAGATCTTCGATCGAATGATGTAGATCTTGCAAATAGCTGGTTGGCATTGTCGCACGACGATTGTTTTCAAAAACTTACACGCGTGCGTTCAATGACATTTACGATAATTTCAATTCAACGAATTATTTAATCTATTGTCCACGATCGGCACCGTCGAACGTCGATGGAAACGCTAAAATCCGATATTTATTCAAGAAAACAAAGTAATGTGTCGCTTTTCGTCACACACGTAAAAAAACAGCGAATGCTTTAAGAGATTTGAAAATTTATTACTCGCGCAATATATATATATATATATTTTATTAAACATCGCTTGCGATAATCCAACACGCCATTGTCGATGTCTCTCGCGTGTGGTGGCGATTACGCGCAATGTCCGGCGAGGAGTCGCGCGCGAGAGAAGAAAACCGCGCGAAGAAGAGAAGAAGGGAGAGCCACAACCCCGGCTAAAACTCGCGCCGATCTCGCCGGATCGCTCGCTCCGCTCTCTCGAGGATTTGCAAACAATGGCGCCGTAGCGCGCGGCGCGTTCTTTCGATGGCGGCTCGATACGCATCGCATTTACATATTATTGCTATTATTAGGTAAACGATCCTCCGCCGAGCGCCTCTTTAACACTACTCGCTCCGCTCGCTCGCTCGCCCTCGAGGCTATTTTACGACCGTGAGGCCCCCGCGCGATCACGCTCTCCCTTACCCCCCCGCGTGCGTCCCGCCGTCTCCTCCCTCGCGCTCCGATAAAAGCCCGGAGCTTAAGCTTTCTCCGCCGGCTTGGCGACAAAAATTGAAGCACCGCCCGGGCCGAGAGTGGGTGGCTGGAATTGTAAATAATCGTCCTGCGGGGAGATCGTTATCGGGCGTACACGGCGCTATCCTATCCTCGCCGCCGGCGAGCGGGCTATCAAGATTCGTGGCATCTTCTCCTAAACCGATTTCAAGCGGCGGCCCCCGCCGCCGTTCTCTCTTCTAAGCGCTGCGCACCGGGAGTATTAATAAGCGAAGCGTGTTCGTCGGATTCGTAATTCCGTTTTTCATATTTTTTACAAATCGTAGGTCGTCTCCTCGAATAGAATTTTTTTTTAGACGTTTATCGATCGGGACCATTTGAAAAACAATATCTGCGAAGATGTCGCGTGCGCCGTCCCATCGCTTTGAAGACGGGAAGTCGAATCTCGAATGACGGTTTTGATTCTCCGGGACGAGGACTTTATTAAAATTTTTTTATGACGCGACGCGTCAAATTCTCTCGGGTCTCTGTTTTGTTTACAAATAACGCGATTGACACTGGCCACCCGGTGTCGTCCGTAATTGTCTCTCTCGCGTTTCTCCTTCGCTCCTTTTTGAGACCGGCAAACGCAGCTAGACCGCATGACGCCGGGTCCGAATTAAAAGCCGCTTTTACGGGGGGGGGGGGGGTCGGGACAAACCCCTTCCCGCGCTCGAACGAGGCAAAAAGGGGCCTCGCAGTGTGCTCCGATAAAACAGAACGCGCGGAGATAGAAGAAAGAGAGAGAGAGAAAGGAACGGGAGAGGAAGTTCGAAATCACGACAAGTATAGGAAGGAAAAGGGAGGAAGGGCCGAACGGCGGGAAGGGCTGGGTTATGTGCGGGGTACGCGCATACAATGGGGCCCCGGGAGAAGAGGAGAGAGACCGGGAGAGAGCAAAAGCGGCGAATTAATTGTCGCTCGCGCCGCCGACGAAGCCGCTGCGATCTGCAGGTCTGATTTGTGGGCCGCGCGTATACATCACCGTGTGGCCACACGCGCGCGTGTGCGTGCATGGGCCCTTCTTTCTTTCTCTCCTTTTATCTGTCCTGCTGCTCCCACTTGCTCTCTTTCTCTCTCTTTCTATCTTTCTTCTTTATCTTCCTTTCTTTCGCTCTTTTTTTCCCGCGAGAGGAGATTCGCGACGGAGGCTGCGACGATGTGACTGTACTGAGATAGTGGTGGTACTGGTGGCTGACAATGGAAACAAGTTCAGAAAAGGATATGCGTGCGAGGGAGAGAGAGAGAGAGAAGATGAAAGAGGAGAAAAAAGAACGCGAGGAGGAGGGGGGTGAGGCTCGAGGAAAAAGAGAAACGAGGAGAGAAAACAGGAGCGAGAGAGCCGTATGCGCGGACGTACGAAGGTGAGTCTCCCGGTGGAGGAGCGGGAGGGTGACTTAAGGATCCGCAGAAAGAAGGAACAAGGTAGAGTTGGACGGTACTACGAACAATGCGCCAACCGGGTCCGCGGGTCTCTCCCTCCTTTCTCTCCGGTCTCCGTCCATCGTCACGCTCTCGTCCCTCTCTTCCCTCTCTTTCTTATTCTTGTTTATTATTCAATGGGGCCAGAAGGTGCTCGTTAATTGATGGCACCGGCCATGGCCGAGCGGCGCGGAAGAAGGAAAGCGAAGGGGAGGGCGAAAGAGAGGATGGAATCGCGAAACCCACGAGAAGAGGAAGGGTCCGGCCTCTGCCACGGACCACCATCGCCTTATTTATAACGACGGGGGTAACCGAATTCACGATCAAAATCCCGCGGCATTGATGGATCGCGCCGTGCCGCGACGCGACGACTCTGGTATTTTCAAATGAACCCGCCCCTTTTTCCTCATGATGTCTCCGCGCGCTCGGAGAAGCCGGAGGGATGGGGGTGGAAACCAGCCCGGTGTGCCCCGCCGCGCTCTTTCTCTCTGTCTCTCTCTCTCTCTCTCTCCCTCTCCCATCTCTTCTTCCTCATCGATGACATCGACGAATTCTTCGGGGCAGCTTGCTCTGCCTCGGGGATTCGATTTCTATATGCAGGTTGCCCGTTCGATTGATCGATAGCGAGGAACCGCGCGCGATCGGCTTGGGTTGAATTCCGATGCGCGCGTTTGGATGTAAATCCAAACAAACTCGTCGAATAATTATCGCGAGTATAAATTTAACCGAATTTTGCGTATTAACTCAGCTGTTTTGTTTAAACAATTTTAACTTCAAAACGTACAGATTACGTGCTGCTAATTTTTTTTAACAGCACGTTTTAGTTGGAACAATTTTTATTTTCTCGAAGAAACATTGTTGTAGTGTGACGATAATTTTATTTTATCTCTCTCTCTCTCTCTCTCTCTCTCTTTCTCTCTCAGGGACAGATGTATTGCTTTCCGATGAGTTGTGCGACAGAACAGAACGCAAACGGGGACTGCACGCGCGGATAAGCGGCGATTACGCGTCCTCGTAACGAGCCTAATTAAGCCCGGGCATGAGGCTCGTAAAGTTTCATGGCGAATTGAAGATGCATTATCGGCCGGTAATATGCAGTAAAAGCGCCTAATGATAAACGCGGAAGCACACAACGTTCATCGAGCGGGACGAGTCCATGTCGCATTACGTTGAAAAACAATTTGTACGTCAACCTCTTTTCGAGCTTCAATATATCGTAGGTAGCCTTTAGCCAGCATTTTAATACACCGCCCGTGTCCCGTAAAATCCCGAATTATCATTTTAACCAAACGAGACCAGTCGTGAGTTAGTTTCCATTGATGTTTTAAATCCCAGTGCAATAAATTAACAACAAGAAGTAGTATAAAAAAAAATTGTCTTAAAATTCCCTACTTATAGCTTAAATAACTTAGCAAGTTGGTGTGTTCCTTAATACACAAATTGTAGAATGTGTGTAGAAATTGTATTTTTTTTTTTTTAAATATCTGTTTTGTATAATTCATGCAATTTTATTTGTATGTCTGCTAATCCTCTTTTCGAGACGGCACCATCCAGTATCTCACACTTGAAGTAAATATATAATTAAACACACGTAAATCATTGTACCAGAAATATTTTTGCACGCGCGGAGAGAGATGTTCGTAACGAGAGTTATTCTTCGTACTGTCGCAGACTGCTAGGACGCGGCTCCATGCACGTGTTCTCCGGCGAACAATTCCGAAAGCTAATGGACGCGAGCGGCTTCACCGGCCCCTGGCATTCCTTGGTGGACCTCGGGGCAGGTGATGGCGCAACCACCGCCCACGTGGCGCATCTCTTCGAGAAGGTGTACGCCACGGACATCTCGCCCCCCATGAGATGGGCCTTGGCAAAGAGAAAATTCACGTAAGTAAATCCAAGCCAAGATATTGTAAAACAGTACGTATTAAGTATTTTAAATTTTTATGAACAATACATCGAAAAGTTTAACAGAAATTTTTCGTGATAATAAAAGTCGCGACTTTTGTAACAATTTATTTAAAGTGAGAAAAATACCTGTCAAATTCTTTTTCCTCCCTTAAATCGACGGACTATTTTTGAAATAAATTGTTATTACGATCATTTGTGCGTGTGTGCGTGCAAAGGTTCGATAATATATTTCCGAGAAGAATCTCCGCGCTAACGGCAAGAAGTTTTCAACTACAAAGCCACCTCTCGGAGTCGCATATGCGAGAGAACGCGAAACAGATTACATTCTTCGAATCGAATACGAGCGACCAAAGGTGGGCGGTGGAATCTCCGCTCCTTGAACAACGTGCATTTGCATTTTCTCGTAACGGCGAGACACATTCGCCGGTAGAGATTCACGCGACACGTATTTTATCCTCATCACGTGTGGCGCGAAGCATTGCGCGATCCTTTCTCGTCTTTTCCAAAGGGGAAACTTGAAGAAAATGAGAAATCTCCGTACACGGGTATTTATTGTTGTTTAGTTCTCGCGCGAAAAGAAAAAAAAACAACCGATGCAACGTAACGGATCAATAGATTAGCGCGGACATTGCGCGTCGTTTCCCACATTGAGGGAAACCTGTCGCGAGTATTCCGGTGTTATTATGGTTTATCTCAAAAAAAAAAAAACTTCGCGGACTTAGCTGTAAAGTGAGATAAGATAATTGATCGCGGCCGGGGCGCGGCAACGACATATAAAATCGGCACTTGTCGACGCTCGTGTGTGTCGATACGTAATATCTTCTCGCACGGTGCGCTACCACTAACAAGTTTATTGCGTCGAATTGATTGGAGTAGAAGTTTACGGTGGTTTTACACCCGGAGCGTAGCGGAGCCACCACTTCCGAGGTGTGTGCAGCGCCGATGTGAGTTGCTCCGAATGCGCGAGTCGCCACTCGAATTTTAAATGAACGTCCGTACAGGGTGCGGCGGCCTCTCGTAATGTTTTATATAGAACACGAGCCATCCTCCGGTTGCTTCGCGTAAAATTAGCGGAGAAACCAGAGTCTTATCGCGTTTCTTGTATATTTCTTCTAATATTTATTTAAAATTTTTATTTCTATAAACAAACAAAATATAAAAACACGGCAAATGAATCTTTGACGCAGGGTGCTCAACGTGGAGAGATGGCATCAAGAGGCCGGTCCTTTTAACGTCATCCTCTGCCTGAATCTTCTCGACCGTTGCGACCGTCCGAACACGCTGCTGAGGCTGCTGCGATCCTCGCTGGCACCCGGCGGCAGGCTGGTTGTCGCCCTCGTTCTGCCGTTCAGCCCCTACGTCGAGGTGGGCGAGAGGGGCAATCACAAGCCGTTGGAGTACCTGCCGGTACGGGGCAACGGTCTCGAGGCACAGATAGTCGGGCTGATCGACAGGGTCTTCAATCCGGCGGGTCTGCGATGCCTCGTCTGGAGCAAACTGCCGTATCTCTGCGAGGGCGATTTGGGCCAGTCGTACTACTTCCTGGACGACGTGATCTTCGTGCTGGAGGCGCGGCCTCCGGTCAGCACTCGATCCTGCGAATTCAACGCGACGACAATGGACGACGTTGCGTCCCGCAAGAACTTTTGAAGATTCGGAAGGGAAGGAATTTGTACTTACACGTGCGACAAGAGAGACAGAATGGAAAGGGGGTTGAAAGAAGAGAAAAAGGGAAAAAATGACGAGAGGCGAGTGTCTCACACTTGTAAAAACTTTTAATAATTGCTGTCATGAGTTAGAATTATGCAAGAATACAGAAGAGCAATATTGGCAAGCGACGACGAGAGCTTAATGTGCAGACACAGCGGGTTAGCGTTCTTTCGTGTTACAAATATCGATTAGCGATCCGAGTTTTTTAAAAAAGGGAACGACGGATCGGGGATAAGTATGCGGCGCGCGCATCTTATCGTCTTATCATACTGCCGAATTGTCGGTGTGTGCGAAAAAAGTAATACGCGTTTTTTTTTTTCTTATTCTCTTACGGTACAGATATGGCGTGAGAGTTCGAGCGAGATTCGCGGAAACACGCGAAAAATCTGTACACCGTTTTTCTCCGTCCCTCTTCCCTCCCTTACGTGCTCTCCGCGCGTTCGAGAGCACCTCTTCCCCTCAAAAAAAGATTAAATTCTTGTTCTAATTACACTTAAGCTAAATTAGAAATTAATAAACGTGTGTGTTCACAGAAACGAAAGTCAAATAACAACAACATCAGTCGCGCGGTGTAAACGGCGATAATAAAAGCCCGTGCAAAACGAAGGCTCTAATAACATTTATATATTTAAAAAAAAAACGATAAAGTTATAGAGAAGAACACGTGTATCAAATATACATACATATATATATATACATATATTTATATATATATTTATATATATATATATACACATATATATATATAAAGAGATTAAACATACTCCTCGACGTTTTGAGCAATTGCACAATTGTGGTTCGAATTGTGTTGAACAGATCGCGAATCGCACACAATCTCGGACGTTTCTCGCGCGTATATCTCAAAATTCTTCTATACTCGTCGACGTTTTCGTTGACTCTTTGTTTCCGCGCTCCCTTTTTTTTTTTTTTTTTTTTTTTGGCATAAATTGCAGCGACTTACGTCATGGATATGCTTAATCGTCGTTGGCCACACACGACCGACGACGGCGAGACAAACGGCGATACGTTTGTTTTTCTTTTTTTTTCTTTTTCTTTTTTTTTACTTAATAATAACTACTATAAGAAATAAGTCCATCTAGTTACTGGAAATACACTTTGGTGTGCAACAAGTTATCGTCGAATTATGAACCATATTGCAGCAGCCTTGTAATATATATATATATATACATATATATATATATACATATATAATATATATGTATGTCAACAAAAACGCAGTCGCTGTAGAAGCCGGATATGCGTTCGATTGAAAGTCATTATTTATAAAAAAAGAAACAATAAAAATAAAATAAAAAAAAACCCAAAAAACTCTGAGAAGGCTATCCCAGACTTCCTAATTGTCATTGTCTCTCTGTGCGCGCATTCCTCTGCTTCCGATAACTGCAACAGATTTACAATAAAATAAAAAAAAAAAACAACCAACAGATAACAGAAAACGAAAGAAATGTTGAATCGATAAAGTTTTTTTAACACAGTTTCAAATCCGACTCCTAATTGGTAATCGATCGGCACATTCGCTGCATATACGTGTGTAAGTTATATTTATAACAGATACATATGTTATAGAAAGACATTTTCAACACATTCACACGCATTCATATAAAATTTTGTTTATCTCCGATTGCCGAGAGAGAGATCCTCTCTCCATTTTCTCAAAGCTCACGCATACGCAGTCCGTAAAAGCACAGCCCACACACATACATTCGAGGCGCCGGTTTAATTCTGCGCGGCGCGCACAAAAAACACGACATTCGTTTTTCTTTTTATACTCGGAGGCGAATACCTCCTGTGTGTAACTTTACATCGTCTTGAGAAAGAAGGAAACATTTTACCATATATCGCTTATACGCGTGTGTGTTGTTTATATATATATATATATATATGTATGTATATATATAACAATCGAGGAAACGGTTTTACTCCCGCAGCTGAGACGATATGCCGGGGGCATTTGTTTGAGACGCAATCACAAACGTTAGACCCCTAATTTTCCTATTTTTGTTTTTTTTTTTTTTTTTTTGCAAGAGTAAAAGCGCTTCGGCGTAATAATCAGTTAGGTGCACGGTGAAAAGTCTTTGAGCGTCAGTGTGGATCACACCTCGAGAATCCTCTAATGACGTAACCATTTCGTTCGTTTCTTTTTTACTTTTTTTTGTATATATATATATTTATGTAGTAAGAAATAATCTTTTTTTTCCTTAAAAAATACCTATGAATTGACCGATGACTTTTTTTCTTCCTTTTTACGTGCACACCGCATACACTGCCCATGGAGCTTACGATATAATTACAGCAAAGTCCCTTTTTTTTTTTTTTTAACACTCGTTAAAAAGCGAACACTATACCGGAAATACAACGATATGCTTGCGCGTTCTAACCTTAAAAATAAATAATAACGTATATCTATATATATATCTTTTTTTGAGAAAATATATACACATATAAAGTGAACACACGCAACACAAGCAAGTCTTTTGCTCGAGAAGATAACTTGTCTCTTTCTCTCTTATGTTAATTCAAAGTCAAAGAACAAATGTTATATATCTAACAAACAGTTAAAAGCACAATAGCACGAAAACAAAAATATATTCGGGGTTCGGAGTTCAGCAAACAGGGGAGAAACTGTCCTCCCATCTCTCACATTTTTTTTTAGTCTCACCTAACGTCACGCGAACTTTAAATATCTTATTTAGTAGCAAAAAGCTTTTGTACCCCAGGCCAATTTCTTTCTTTTTTTTTTTTTTAAGTCTTTGCTCCTCATTCCGACTCAAGTTTTATACACTTATGTAACAGTTCTGTACACAGTATATAAAAAAATCCTACTATATATTACACATTAATCAGGTAATTGTCGAACACAAGCGGCAAATTGTTAAATCGATACGGTAATATATATGTGTATACATATATATTTTTCGTTCTTAATGAAGATCGGGAAGTGTTCTGCAACTCTCGGACTTTGAATCTTGATATAATATAATCGAAAATATAATCGCGGGATTAGTCGACACACGTTAGTCGCCAAATACGTACGTACATAAGCCCCATAGGCAGATCGAGAGCAATTACGAGAGACACGAAATCAGGCTACAGCGATGAAATAAAGCTATATAAGTAAGAATCCCTAGAGACGACGCGGTGTGTGAGTTTTAGTCCTACATATAAATCTTTTTTTTTTTGTTTTTCTTTTTTGTTTTGTTTTCTCGCTACCCACGTTTATCACAGTCCACGCATGACTCATTTTGTTTTTTCTTATTATTTGAAGTCCTAAACGCCAACAACTTTTTTTGAGCAATCCATCGGGTTGTTTAAATACGAAACACCCAGCTAATCGATAAAACATCTTGTGACTAGAACATCATAGAGCGCAAAAAAGACGAAACTTGGTCTGTCGCAAAAAGAAGCGAAGACGATGCTTAGTCCAACTTACGCTGCTCGCACAATTCTTCTATCGCACCAGCTTTTCTGTGAAACGAAATACATAACGTTTGATGAACAACGGGAATAAAAAAAATTGATAATAAAATGTCTTAAGATACTCACAACGACGATAAGTAAGAAGTACTGGTGTGATCTAATCGGTGTTTATCTTCGTTTTTCCAGCTCGAGACTGGTATGTGTGGAGGTGGCAAGAAGCTTCTCAACGATTGTACGAGTTGTATTGTATCGACCAGTGCTGCACAAGTAAAAATAAGAAATAACGTAAACGCTTCTGTAATTGATTTTAATGAATAATTCTAGTAAATAAATTTTGCATACACAATGCAAGAAATTAAAGAAAAAGATAAAACTAATATTGTCATTACTTTTTTGTAGAGCCTCGGACTGTTTGCCGTACGGCTTGCACATTGCCGGTCGCACACAAGCTTTCATCCTTGCCATGTTCTTCATTACTTCGGCAAAGGCGCGCACAATCTTCTCCTGACCACCTAAAATCAGCAAAATAAATTCAAACATTAACGCAATGCAAATGTGGATCTGAGAAAGCACGTATTCCTGAAACCTTACCTTCGGAATTCGAAGACGATGACCGAGAACCCTTTTCACCTTCTAGAGGCCATGCGCCATTGTGCAGCGCTAATAGGTCCTTATTGGCATTCCCTAAACCTTGTAAATTTCCTAAACCGAGTGTACTGAGATTGTCCAAGTTGTCCAGATTGTTGCGTAAAAAATCCGTCAGCTTGTGATCGGAAATTGGTATATTAGATATTAGAGATTCGTAGTGCTGCTTGCCGGATGAAACTTTCTTCTCTTGCGAGACAGGCCGATGTGGAATATTCAATGATGGACGGCTTGGAGGACGTTGAAGATTCATTTGGTTGCCGGCGCTCCTCATCTCCGGCAAATCCGCCCCGGATCCTCCTCCCATGTGCGTATTCGGATTAGCACTGCTCAGTGTCTGCGGATAAACAAAAGTATGTAACAAGCTGTAAAATACAATAAAAGAAGAAAATTATCAAACGAGATCCTCGCTTACTGCCTGGAAATCTGTGCTATGGGGAAATCCGGTACGCAAAAGGGACGCGGTTGCTTCGTTTTCTTGAATGTAAGTCGGTGCCATGTGACCCATCTTTTGAGTGAGTTCTAACTGATTTTTGTAGTAACGACAAGCAGGATTGGGGCAATTCTGCACGACTTCTATGATAAATTCCTTCTCCATTCCGAAACACTCTCTCCCAATGGTGTAAGACTCCATGACCGCTCTGACCGTACCCTCCAAGCCCAAATGTAATCCGTGCGGGCCGTTCATGTGTTTCAACATTACAGCATTGGCAAAGTGTTCATAGGGAAGTATTATCTTTCCGTTTTCTCTGAGAACTAGTCTTCCCTGTGAATCTAACGCGACTCTGGATGCCATCATCCTGTAAGACAATCAGTGTGTTGTATGAGATATCACGCGTCATACAAAGTAAGTTGGTTTCATTGTTAAAATAATGTTTATTCTTACTGTAAATAAGCAGCACTTGGCATCATGGAGGCGTCCTTGAATTCCGAAAAACACTGCAGCAGCTCGATACTGGGATTCCAGCCTTTATTTTGCAAATACGCTTGTAACAACATGTACATCTTCTCCGTGACGTAGCCAGCGCTACTTGGCGTAGCTGGATAACCTGAACCTCCGCCTGGTGGGCCCATTTCTGTTTGCATTCCTTTGGCAACAATGTTCTTCATAGTTTCAGCAAGGTCCATTCTGTGCACAAAATAATTCACATCTCAATGTGACAAATTCTCTTACAAAAACAAAGACATCAAGTGAATCCATTTGATAAACAATTCCAATATTTACATTTCGCTGTACGTGACAAAAAACTTAGCAGACGACAAACAAAACAGAGCAAACATACACAAAGAGGGAACTAATTAGCGTCGATAACTGAAACGCGCTTCGACAATTTGGCACGTCCGTCATCGTCGAGAGAATCATGATCTATCGAAGGTCAACGAGCATCATCGGCAACGCATTCGCGCGCAAGATTGTCTCTGTGAGATCGAGCACGCGTCATCGGCCAAGTCATTCGTAGTCTCGCTTGTCGGGAACGGTGGGCTCGGGTCGCGAGTCTCGTTCCGTCGGCGAGCATCGTGGCTCGTGGCGGCGGCTCGGTCCCGTCGTCAGCTGGTTCTCGGCACCGGCCATTGTTATCGCCGTAGCGGGCCGAGCGAGTCGGCGGAACCGATAAAAAAGTGCTCGGCGAGCGTGCGAGCCACCGCCCCCTTCCGAGAACGCGCGGGGGGAACCGAGCCGCGAACGCGAGATACTACCACGGACTCGTGTGCCACTCACCCCGTGCCGCGGCCACCGCTGGACTCGCACTCCACTCACGGCGAAGCCGGCTATCCCCAGGACGCCGTTCGTCGATCCGTTAATCGCCGCCACTCGGCATCGCCTAATTAATTAAACCCCCGGATCACATTTGCAAATAACATAAATCGCGATAATTATTTCCGCGAGGGTCGCTTGCACGGTCCGCCGCCAGGGGCGCACCGCGTTCTGTACTTTTCGGCCCGTGTGTGTATGTGTGTGCGTGTGTGTACGTGTGTATGCTTGTGCGCGCGTACCCACACGAGATCCGGCTGCGCTTACGCGACGCCACTTTGCGCATTTATCAATATTACTTTTTGCAATTGATATATTACACCGCCCCGCACGACAACGCCGCGGCGCGCGACGAATTACATCGGCGCCGACGAGCGCGCCGCGCTCGTCCGTCCGCGGCTTCGAAAATTCCGCGCATCGGTCATCGAACCCCCGCGGCGAATCGCCAGAACTCGCCGCAGAATTTGGAAAGACGAGCACTCGCCGTTCTGTTTTTGCTAAAACTTTCGATCGTTGACTTTTGACAGAAGACATCATACCTTTTTTCTTATTTATTTTGATTTCGCCGAGATTTTTCTCCCGAAGGTATTTTATTTTCTGCAAACGTTTTACTTGTTTTTCGTAGTATATTTATTACGTAATTTCGTGTTATGCAATTCTCTGAGTAAATTATTTTATTTGCACCAAAGACAAAGTTCTCTGGTTTTATGTGTACGTTTTTGTTACGTACGAAAATAAATCTTGCGCGTGAATATTTCAGTTCGCGTATTTATCGAATAACAACCTGCATACAATAAGAGTCTTTCTTGTGACACACGGAACGAATAGCTAATCGATAAAATACACGAAACATGTAGTTCGTTTCCTTGGCCCTTCCTCCTCGCACGATTATCGCGCGTAAAATTTAAAAAAAAAAAAAAAACACCGACTGCGTCGGATCATCGACGATTTCGCAAAAAAGGCGCGTAGAATTTTCTACTCGATTTCACGCGCGTTTCACACACGCGCGTAGCACACAATCTCTCAGTCGCGTGCGTTGCTTTCGAATTCGAATCGTGCACGGGGTGTCGCTGCTTTTTGACGTTGCTACCAACCGCGCGCACGTAAAAGCGCAAGTGTTCCAAATAGTATAAACATGGCCTCGCGGTACGGTCACGGTGTTCAGCGAGTTTTAGCGAAATTAGAAGCGTCGATTAACTCCGAGAATTATTATGAGGCCCATCAGATGTACAGAACGTTGTATTTCAGGTGAGCGAGCCGACGCGATTGTCCGACGTCGTCAATGCGGACTTCCGCTCGCGCAATTCTAATTCTGTCCGTCTAACCTCTTAACCCTTCGCAGATACCTCGGTCAGAAAAAATACTCGGAACTTTTGGAATTGCTGTACAATGGGTCACGGCTCTTATTACAACACGAACAGGTATGCGAGTTGGTTACTCGAGCGTTACCGAAATATCTTCTCGATTTTCATTGAGTCCTCTTCGTACGAAATGGTTCGTCGGAACTTGCAAGACCACATGCTCGCAAAATACGTCTCTGGCCTTTTTGAGTTGAACCGCGAAATTAAACAATTGGAACTGTTGGAAAAAAGTTAACGAAAGTTAATCTCGCGGGACAATTCACGGCAAATGTGCATTTGTTGTAGTATGCGAGCGGCGCCGACTTAGGAATTTTATTTATCAATGTTTTGACACAATCTGGAATTGAACCTATGCAAGAGTTCTTTGAAAAAATCACAACACTTTTGAGCCTGATGAGCCCGTCGTCTCCGGAAAGAGAAGTGTTTGTACAGTCCGCGCTTAAATGGAGCATAAAAGGTACAGATTATAAAATAGGTCATCCAGATTTGCACCAAAAAATGGCTCAAGTTTTTTGGAAAGGTAATTTCAATGAGGAAACTTGAAGTATATGTATAAATGTGTGTGAAATATAAACACGTACATAATCTCATTACAAGTTCACGCTAAATTCGTAATATCTGTGATTGTTTTTTTTTTATTAGAAAAAAATTACACACTAGCCAGGCAACATTTTCTGTATAGTAGAGATGGTTCTGGCTGTGCGGCCATGTTAGTAGAACTACACGAACAGCGTGGCTATGTCAACGAAATAGACCTCTTTATAGCTCAAGCAGTTTTGCAGTGAGTGTAATTTTTAAATCAGTATTTATTAATTTTTTTTAATACAGTAAATTTGTAAATGTAAAATTGGTGATATATTGATGTGTTAAGTGTATAGCCAGACAAAATTTATTCGTTTTGATTCATCTCAGGTATCTCTGTTTACAAAACAAAGCAACAGCACAGGAAGCCTTCAATTCTTATACCTCGAGGCATCCAAAAATAAGTAGCGGTCCGCCCTATCTTCTTCCCTTGTTAAACTTTTTGTTTTTCTTACTCAAAACAATTGACACGTACGTATCTGTCGTCGTACTCTGTGAATGATCGAGATACATTTTCGATTACGTAAGTGCAATTTTTTTCCATCTAATATTTACAGTGGCAAACTAGCGGCGTTCACAATTCTCTGCGAACAGTATCAGATTTCTCTAAATAGAGACCCACATTATCGACAGTACTTAGAAAAAATAGGCCAACTGTTTTTCAATATCCCGCCACCCCGTCCACGTAATCAAGGATACTTTAACTCGTTGTTACAATCTTTCTTCAACGGTATGGAGGACGACGAGTCGGACGACGAGCAACGAAACACAGCCTCAACCTCGCATCACACTGTGCAAGAACTTGATTGATTAAAGGTGAGACACTGTAAGGTGTGACTTTATAAATTGCCGAACTTTTATATATATTATTAATCCTCGACCCAGATACTTTCACCAGTTTCCACTTTTTGAGTAAATATGCCGATAAAGGGAGCATCTTCTTTGACACCCTTGATTTTGACATGTTATCAAAGTCATGGCCCAGAGTGACCTTCAAAAAGTTTTAAGTAATGCTCACTGTTCGTTAAAAAGTTATTAACAAAAACTGATATGACAATAAAATAAAGTTTTTCATACATAAAAGTAAGTGTAAAGTCTAGAAACCTATGTCGAACAGTATAATCGTATACCTCGTTTCATCCCTAAGCAAGGGAGAGGTGTAGGTTGACCCTCGCTTTGCGTGGAAAATCGAAAACGCATGTGGAACAGAACAATTACAGACTTCGCTTTGCTTCATAAACAGAGAAGAAAGTATGTTTAGTATAAAATAAATAAAAACTAACTTTATAAATATTACGATAAGCTTGAAAAGTACGTGCTAAGGTGAAAGAGCGTACAAAGAGAAGGAGCCCGTGTGCGCTCTCTCACATAAAAAAAAAAAAAAACTTGGAAGTGTAGAAAGTATCAATGGTTGGAAGTACTACTTGGAAAGTATATGCGTGTATTTCACCTTCCTACAGAGAGGCTTTGCTATGGAAAAAACTAAACACATGAGTTTACTTTAACTTAACAAACATTTTTTGTTAATAACTTTTTAACAAACAGTGATTATTTCAAACCTTTTGAAGGTCACTCTGGGCCATGACTTTGATAACATGTCAAGATCAAGGTCATCAAAAACTGCTCCCTTTGTCGGCATAATTACCACTTTTTGTCATCGATAAGACTTTGAACCGTAAACATTTTATATATGTTTACACGTAGCCATTTATTTTTTCTGGTCCGTGTGTACGTAAACTCCAAAGAATGTGGAAGTATGTGGGACGACTTGTGTAGGAATTTATCAAAGTTGTAAGTTGGGTTGTCAACTGAATTCACAATAGTTCACGAATTCAAGTCTTAATTATTTGATACATATCTGTGTCGTACATACATATACTCTTTTTTTTTCTTTCTTTTTTCTTAATCAAACTCACGGATGTGTGCAATAAACATGGAGGTGGTTTTATATAAAATCAAGTTTGTTATGCGAATAAATAATTTGAAGCAAATCATGATTGTTACGTAAAAGCTACGTCGTAGTCGTCTTAATATTTTGCACGTGAGTGGAATGAAAAACTCGCGCGTTCGCACTTCATTACTTGTGTAATCGCTATTTTTATTGAGTACTTTTCCAAAAAGAGCAAATAAAAAAATTGACCAGCTCTCTTCACGTTTAATTAAATTAATGAATTTCGTTAATTTAATTAAAGAATCTCGAAGTTTCGTGTCGTCTTCGTGAGTTTCTTTTAACTTCGATTTCTGTTTCACGAGATTATTTTCAACGATTGTATTTTCTATACGTTTTAAAATGTTGTCTTTGTGCTCGTGACGCTGTTGCGAAGAAAATTTGACAAGAACCTTCGCGCTCAATATCGTGAGAAATAAATTGTCAGAATGATCCAAACATCTTTCTTTCGCTCGATTCGCGTGCTCTGTAATGTGCGAACGTGCGGACTTCACCAGAGATGCCAGATTCTGAACACTTGGTAGCATGCGGTAGCATGGAGGGGATGCGCACTCAACCTCAGATCGTGTGCTCGAGCTTCGGGCGCGATCGCACACGTACACGATCTGAGGTTGTGTGCGCATCCCTTCCATGCTACCGCTGCTACCGCATGCTACCAAGTGTTCAGAATCTGGCATCTCTGGACTTCACGTTTGATTCACGTATCTTAAGATAACAAAAAAAATTTATCTTTTGTTGACAGTCGTGATAATAATAATCACACATTGTCGATTTCTCTCTGTATGCTGTTATGAATTCAGCAATTATGCTTGGACTTTGAATAAAATCCTCGTCATTAGCTGCAATCTGCATACCGCGCATATAATCACATTTCTTTCTCTCTCTCTGTCGATGTAGACACCCTGTGTACAATCGCTGATTCGAAAAGATTTATTTTATATAAACTAAAAAAAAAAAAAAAAAACAAATACGTATGTGTGACAAATATATGTGACATACTTATATAGCTTCCGAGAGAAAGAACGAGAGATCGTTCGTTGAGATATCGAAGATATAAAATTGTATTTCACAGGACGCGTTAATGGATTTTCGTGTATAAATGTACATTGATAAGAATTTGTTGCTTTTCTTGAGGTTACAATTTTTATACAAATGTACATTTAGAAGCTTATGTAGTTTCACTCACGATTGTGATTTGTTACTTCATGAATTATTGCGCGTGTAAACCGGTTAGAGACAATTAACTATAAACGTTAGTAATTTTACAAGTAATTTTAATGAAGCTACGTAATTTGATTATAAACACAATAAAACTCATTCTAACATGTATATAATTCAAGAAATTGAATCAGTGAGTGCAAACGTACTTAGGAAGCCATTAATGCGTCTGCTCACAAAACAATAGGCAACATATTTATTTATCAAGTTCTATATCGAATTATGTGGAGACAAGAAATTGTCTGAAAGAAACAAAAAATAAACAAACGCATGTATTTAGTAAAGAAAATGAAATGACCATCAGTGTAACAAATCTCTACATAGCATTAATTAAAATAGTAATTGTATACTAAAATCAATTAAAGAAATGGAAACATAAATAAAACAACTAAATAAATTTAACTCTGTAATAAAACACAATCCTTCTGAAAGGAACGCGCTCAAGAATGCGTTCAAACTGTCCTTTGATTATTTATATCATTTGTGTATGAATAATTACAATTATATAATTATTGACAAGAATTTGTGTTTATATTTTACACGTTATTATTTACATTTCTTTTATATGCAAGAATTTTTATATTTAATATTTTCTTGTGTTCATTGGGTATAAGTCGTAAGTAGATAGGCTTTGCGTGACTTTTTCTTTTATTACTAATACTAAGTAAAATGTAATGTTTGTAAATAGAAAAAAAAACGAGACATCGATTCTTGTTAAAATGTGTATGGTATGTGTGTATGTATACATGTAAAATATATATATATATATATATTAAAGTATACACATGTACATACGTATGTGTATGTACACATATAATGTAAACATAGAAAAATGTTCAACGCTTTGGAATTCACATTGGATTTAAGAAGATCGTAGCGAGATTGAGCAAGAACGTTATAATGCTTGGACCAAACATTCTACTTGGTTCTTCAGAACATCAATTTGTTCTAGAATGGTTTTTTCCGAAGTTAATATCTCGTCGAAGTCCTTGTTTTCGTCCTTGGCGATGCAATAAATTTCCCTGGCAATGAAAAGTCCTAAGAAAAACAAGTGTAAGAACATTCACGTTATGCAATGTCGTGTATCTACTAGTGTAAAGTTACGAGTCAAATTGGTTTTCGATTCGTTTTAATGCTCGAAAACTTCAGATAACGCGCTTAACGAAAGTAATCAAATGTAATAACTCGGAAATAGAATTATTTTCCGATTCAACAATCGAAGTTATCGAGCACCAACGACTTCTTGTAAGATTTGTGAAATTACCTTTGTGTATGAACTTCGTAATCTTGTCAAAATCCTCATCGGACAAGTGACTCTTGTGAGTGGTAAGTGTAGCCATTCCAAGTTTGATACCATAGGGATTAAATGAATTGTCTTCAGGAAGGTAACACTTGGTGCAACTAATATTAGCCGCATTAAAGACTTTTTCCGCCTGATCGGCGTTAATACCCGAAAGGTGTAGATCTATCACCACAAAATGCATGTTCTCGCCCATTAGAATGGTATAAATTTCGCTTAGAATTTGGCTTAATTCTTTGGTATTTTTTACTAAGTGTTTCTGATATTCGACAAATTGTGGTGTATTGATGTTTTTCATTGCGGCAGCTATGGCAGCTATAGTACCGTAAGAACAATCTTGAAGACGCGAGACCGCTTGATTGATTCTTTCTTCTATTTTACAGGCAATTTCCTGGTCAGATTTTGCGTTACAGACGTTTTTCCGGTAGAAAATAACAGCACCATCTGGGCCTCTACAATTGAAGAAAGAATATTCGTTAATTGTCTTAATTATAATCACATTGTTGTAATAATATGTGTATTAATATTTCATTTCAGCAATATATTAATATTTCATTATCTTAAGGTCATATTCGTAGCCGTCGTGACGAAATCGCTGTACTCGAAAGGACTTGGTATTATTCCAGCGGCGACCGATCCCGATATTTCAGATATGTCCATGAAGAAGTAAGCGTTGTTGTTTTTAGCGATATCGCTGACCTTTTTAAAATCAAGAAACTTTGGATAGAAGGTAGCTGCAACAGTGATAATCTTCGGTTTGATCTGTCTTGCGTTAATTTCGAGCTCTTCGTAAGCGATTTTTTCATTGCTTTTGTCTATATTGTAGGCTAATGCATCGAAGAAAATGGGCGTAACGCATTTGTTTTTGGGTGTCGCACCGTGAACTGATAGAACTGCGAAACAGAGGATGACTTTACTGTAACACAGGTGTCAGGTGAATTTAAATGTGATTTGATTTTCATGCACTTACCGTGGCTAGAATTGCTTGGTTTTTCTATATTCATCATAAGTTCGATAGGGTTGCACACAGCCAGATACACCGCCAAATTTGCCAGACTTCTCGTGTAAGGTCGAACATTGCAACCCCATATCTCAGGTTCTAGATTGAAGGCTTTCAGGCAGCGTTTCTGCGCTAGTTTTTCTAGTTTAGCAATGTGCTTTCGTCACATCTAGCGAGATAAAAACATGTGCGACAACAGTGCGTAACGTAATAACAATGGGAAGGAGAAAGACGATGTTTGCGAATATCTCACCTTTCAAAATTACACGGATCCGTACTGAATATATTTTGAAACGTTGAGCTCACATAATGTAACGTGTAGAGAGTTGCGTAATTTTCGCTAGCAATTAAATTCAATCCGCACGTTCGACGTTTGCTTTCCTGCTTTAGTAACTCAAAAAGTTTATCATCTATATCTACGGGTTTTATATCGTTTTCGGCTTCCTATTCTTCACTATTTTGTTTCGCTAACAATTTGAAATAACAATCTTCGGTTATATCACAATACAAATTTTAACACAAATAACTTGTACGTTAACACGCGATTGACGTGCAGTGAGTGATTTTGAAACAAATCTATACACAGATTTTTTGTGTGTGATACTTCGCGCGCCGTGCGAATAAACGTTTATTTATTTATTAACTTGCGAATTGACTCCAAAAAGGTCAATGGTTGTGTATATATATTGATATCCTCGCGCGTAGAATATAGCCAAGTATTATTATTCTGTATATATATTTTGTGTGTGTGTGTAATTTTTGAATATAATAATTTTTTATTTTTCTGATATTGATATCAAAAATAATTAGATGCTCGATCTATTTGCGCGATGAATACACAATAAAGAACAAATAGATATAGGGAATTTCAGTGCATAAGAAAATTATATGTCAAGTTTAATTACATATATGTTTAATTGCATGTTCATATTGCAGATTGGAACCTGCTAGTAACTAGATGATTCTTAGCTTCTTTTGTAATGCTTGTGCCTCAAAGTCATATCTTATGCTACAGGTAGTTAAAACCTCTCTAGAGTTAGACCTTTTTAGAAGCAAGAAAAATAGAGATAAAGGGCAAACTCAAGGAATTCTGTCTCTCTTTCTCTCACTCTTTGTTAGAAAATGATAGTAGAACATTCTTTCGAGAACATAACGTTGATTTAACACAATGTACTAATAGCAAAAGACTTAAATTTATACGAGAATTTTTAAGTGCGATGATTTAATTTAATAGATTATTATAAATGTATCTAGGATCTAGATCCACAATAAAATCCGAAAGTGTGAACCGCAACTTCACGTGAGAATTACGAATCACACAAGAAACTACTGAGCATTAGTTACGCGAAATAAATAACACTTAATTTTCCTAAAATTTCATTTCTACTTATCCGAAATAAAATACTAATAAAATACCTGAAACTTTATCTTTATTTGTTTTCGACATGTCTGTGCAACGTTGTCAATAATTTTTGTTGCACGCTTTTCCAATGAAGGTAGATAAAAGAAAAGAAGCTGTAAACAGACTCGTGTGACACTGTGACCGGTAAAATTCTAGTATTGACTCTCGTCGATTTCAAATATGCCAACGTGTAACAAGAGGGAGTAGTAGAAACGACGCGATAATCTTATGCTGTCTTTCCATGAGAGCAGAATGCTATGATTGGCTACATCGTTGTTCTTTGAGAAACGAATAAGAGTACACATGGTTTTTATTGTTAACAATTTATTCACATAACAAAAATATTGCTCTTCTCTCGTTAGAAGAGCAATATTTTTTTTTTTAGATTTTTTAAAATGACGTACAAAAATATTTGCATTATATCTTACAATACAATTTCTATTTGCGCTCTATTTTATAACACAAATGTGTCTGTATAAACTTCCAATAACGCAATATTTTACATTACAGTGAAATGGAATATTTGTATATATACAATATTATCTAAACGTAGAAAAATATGTTTAAACGCTTTGGAAAAGTTTTACATAGCGCAATTAAATTGCAAATTTATTCCGAGTTGCAATATCAATAGGATTCTATACCAGGAAGTGAGAATTGGCTGGCGAAGTCTTCTACTTCCTTCCTCAGAGCTGTAATTTTGCTTATAATATTTTTATCAGTTTTCAACACTCTCTCGAAGTCAACTAACTTCGGTCCCGACAAAACAGTAATTTCCTTGCCAATCGACAATCCTAAAAATCAAAGGACTTATATTATCGTATTCAAAATTCACACGTCATACGTTAAAAACTTTTTCTGTAAAATTTATCATTACCTCTGGATATAAAATCTACGACTGTATCTATGTCCTCTTCGACCAGGCCACGAGTAGTGAGCGCAGGAGTTCCTAATCTAATACCGCTGGGATTCAATGCACTTTTGTCTCCGGGAACGCAATTCTTGTTGCAGGCAATATTAACCGCTTCGAGAATCTTTTCTGCTTTCGCGCCGCTAATACCAGCCTTGCGCAAGTCTACCAACACTATGTGGACATCCGTACCGTCGGTGCAGACTTTGTAACCGCACTTTTCCAGACTCGCGCATAACCTCTTGGCGTTTTTCACTATTTGTTTCTGATACTCGACAAATTCTTTTGTTTTGACTTGTTTCATGGCGGTTGCTATACCAGCGATGGCGTGATTGTGAGGCCCTCCTTGAAGACCCGGAAAAACCGCATGATTGATTCTGTCCTCTATGTCATACATGACTTCCTTGCCATTTTTCACACTACGGATGCCTTTTCGAAAGAAGATGACACCAGCGCGCGGGCCTCTGAAGTTGAAAAATGAATACTTGTTACTTTTTATCATTTGTAATATGTAAATAACAGCTGAAATATATTATCTCACCTCAAAGTTTTATGCGTAGTCGTCGAGACAACGTCGCTGTACTCGAAGGGACTCGGTATCACTCCGGCAGCGACTAATCCGGATATGTGAGCCATGTCGCTGAAGAGGTAAGCGTTGTTCTCATCGGCGATCTCGCGGAAACGCTTGTAATCCAGACATCTGGAGTAGCAAGACACTCCGGCGATGATGATCTTCGGTTTGAACAATTTTGCGTTTTTGGCGAGGTCGTCGTAATTGATCAAACCAGTGTTGGGATCGACTTTGTAGGGCATCGACTCGAAGAAGATGGATGTGGCGGATATCTTCTTGGTTGCCGTGAAGAAACCTGTGGAACGAACAGAGCCGGTTGCAAAACGGTGCCTAAATGGTTCTCATGAATTTTTTCGCGCATTTACCGTGAGTGAGATGACCGCCGTCGGGTAAGTCCAGACCCATTATACGTCCGTGAGGTTCGCACAGACCTGTGTAAACCGCAAAATTCGCCGGACTGCCCGAGTAAGGCTGCACGTTGCAGCCCCATTTCTCAGGATCAAGATTGAAAGCTTCCAAGGCGCGTTTCTGCGCCAATCTTTCTATTTCATCAATATATTCGTTCCCACCGTAATACCTAGCAACATAAGATCATGTGATAGTGTAACGTAAATAGTGTAACAATGGAAAAACACTAACTGTTTGAGAATCTCACCTCTGGCCAGGTAATCCCTCACTGTATTTATTGTGCAAACTTGAACTCAAACATTGCAGCACACTGACAGATGTGAAATTCTCACTGGCGATCAGCTCCAATCCGCACTTTTGCCGTTTCTTCTCTTTTTGCATCAAGTCAAACAGCTCGGGATCGGTTTCCCAAATGTTCTTGTTAAGTAGCTCCATGTTCTGTCAACAGTTTTAATTACAATCGATGTTAAATGATATTAAACAGTTAATCCAGTGTTTGCTTGTGTGTGTTTTTTTTATCTCTGTGTTCTCTTAAAAGATTTTCTTTGTGATAAAAATGAAAAATGAATTACAACACTATAAGATATATTGGGTACATTTAAGTGTAAAACTTGATAAATATGTAAGTATATGTATTTACTTAATGACCCAATATACGATTACAAATCTTCGTCAGCACATTGAACTGTAACAAAAAAAAATATGTTATCGTGATTACGCCTTTGCGCCATATAAGGCATATGTTTCTTATACAAGTTGATTCTTCTGGAAGGGTCAATATTTGTGTGATAACCCTACGTGTGGGGTATAGAAAACACGTTTATTTTGTACGATGTATGTAATCGATGTATTAACTTGATTTTCTGATATCAAAATTAAGAGAGACATGCAAGACAAGAAGTAAAAAACAAGATAATTCGAACAGCAAATTTAATCTCACACACAAACAAACACATACATATAATTCCCTCCATAATTCCCTCTCACTTACTTGCTAATAGGAACCAAGGTCAATATTCAAAGATAACTTTTGAAACATCAAATTTGTGAACAATTATTGTTCATAAACATTTTAAAATAAGTCAGCAACTGTCAAAAGCAAAAAGTTCTGCGAGCAAGTGCACTTACGTCTTCCCGCACGTCAGGCAGTGTCGAAAATCGTCGCACGTTTCTTCGATGAAACCGGTCGTCGAATGATTGCAAGACGCTCGTGCGATCGGCAAAGTTACGTTGGCGCTGAGCGCCGAGCAGCTCTTCCGCCAATTGAAAACCGCGCCGGTTTAAAAGCGTCAGATATCTGCCCATTCTCTCGTATATAACCATCGCAATCTGCGGGGGATCCGTGCGCGTGGATCACGTGTAGTTCTGTTGCACAATCGCTCGCACAAAACAAGACGCGATCTTCTTCCTCTGTAAGAGATCGACGTACCGGTTCCGCAATGATTTCTGAAGGATCGCGCAAAGTTTATCAATCAAACGAATCGTGCAAGTTTACTCTGAAGTAATCCCGTGTGTAACTGGGCACACGAGCCGCAGATGTTTGCGCGCATGTGCCTTTTATTTCGCGAGAGCGCCGGTCACTTTTTGAACAGATTTTTGTCTAGTTCTCAATTCGTGAACTTCGGTTCGGTTTGTACGCAAAATGAAACTTATGCAAAAGCTCTCGATCCGCGATGTGTTTTGTTTTCGAATCTTCAACCCTTCATTATATATACGATTTCAATATAATAAAAAATATTATAAGTGTCGAAACTCTTCAAGCCTCTTGTGTCTCAACATCCATTTACCTACTTGTTTTTTCAGCCCAAAGGCTGGGGCGATTTTTGAAAAAAAATAAAAATAAAAATAAAAATACACTGTTCTAACTCATAAAAACCTACTTTGACTTTAGTTGTGGTGGTTTTCGAAAATCACTGCGTTTTACGAAACAACATATGCGTGTGACAAATCTGACGCAAGCAGTCGAATAATACGCGCAGTTTACTCAGAGTAGAAGAGAATTACGAAATCGAAAGTAAAACACGCGATCAATGACTCTCGTTCCGCGCCTGCTATCACGCCTGGACCGGTCAGTCGGGGTCAGCGTTGTTATCAATATATCAATCGATATTTCCTCTGATGCTTCACTTTATCGTATACGCGTCTACAGTTCGTCTGCGATATAGGTCGAAGCTTGCTTATTTAGATTTTACTAAAACGTGCACGTATGTTAAAAAAATGATTGAAGAAATAAATTTGTACGCCACGAGATCGAAGTAAAAATGCTGGATCGCGATCGAAAGGCGCGAGGAGACTGGACGGTAGTTCAAGTCTAAGAAAAGTCGACGGCGAAAATAAAACAGTACGACAGACCGTTTAACTTTCGCTCTCACCGAACGCAAATATTTTATATCGCGTTCAGCAAAAGACCAATCAAGCAAGATTAAAAACAAACAAAACGTCTCATTAAAAAATTTTAATTTAAATTATTACTCAGATACGCGCGCGCGCGCGATGTCACTCGCTCAAGCGACACGTCAGCGATAAGATGCTCAGTCTGTTGCACAGTCGTAACGTTTTTAATTCTCGCTGTAAAAAAATTCCGAGTTTTGCAAAAATACACAAAACACTCTCCGGCACATCCGAGCTTTTGTCTTGTCGCTGACACGCGTTATTCGCTTCGCCATTTAATTTTTCTCAATTTGTTTTCTACGTATTGTGAACCAGTAAAATAGTAGTGACGTGTTCGTTTGTATTGCTTTTATTATCAGTTTTTTTTTCTTTTTATACGCATACCTGCATCGCATTTTAATTATCTCGCTTGCCTAGAAATGAACTATCAAATATTCGAATGTACAATCGCATTTGAGCAGTTTTTTTGTTTTGTTTTCTTTTTTTAGCTTTTTGTTATAAAGTTCAGCTCTACGCAAAAACGCAAAAATATGAGAGACGTGTACAACCTATTACAAAGCGGATCGTATGCCCGAGATTATCCGTATTCCTCTTTCTTTTTCCACTCGCAATCGCGCACCGCTGATATAAACGTAAACTTAACACAACATATACACAAACACGATAAAGATGTATAGTATCTTTTTTTTTTTATCCTCTTCTCACAAACAGACAGACACCTTAAGCTGGGTATACACCTAGCGAACGAACGCCAAACGAACAGCGAGCGCAAACGTTTGTTATTATCATTCGTCAGATTTATAAGCCAAAACAAATGCGAACAGAACATTTGATTCGCATTTGGTTTGGTTCCCTCATGAGGCATTTGTTTTGGCGTATACATCTGACGAATGATAATAACAAACGTTTGCGCTCGCTGTTCATTCGGCGTTCGTTCGCTAGGTGTATACCCAGCTTTACGCGCTACTCGTTTCTTTTCTCTTGCCAAACAAAAAAAAAACAAAAACATTACAGCGGGAAGATTCACTTGTTTCTTTTTATTATCAATCGTCATTGTCTCGCATGCCACTTAAAAATTGCCGTTAGTAGTATAATCTCCGAGGAACCTAACAACGAAATATATATATATATATATTTATATATTTATATACGTATATATATAAACAACAAAATGTGATTCATATTTCCATCATCATGGCCTCTTGTGTTTCACGTTACAATGTTAATGTTAGAAACGATTGCAACAATCTTCTTTGAAATCGGAGACAGAGAGAGAAAGTAAGAAATTACCTCTCTGTGTGTGTGTTTTACAGACCGTATAAAATATCATTATCGCCGCTTCTCTATTTCGAGATCTATTGCTAGTGTGTGTTTTTTTTTCCATCTCTGTGATTCATCTTCAAATTATCTCGACAAAGAGAGATTCCTTTTACGTACAAATTATCAACATCTCTTTCCATTTTTTTTTTTTTTTTTTTTATCCGCTCACTTAAGGACAGTGCTAAAGAAAAAAATGCAGTCAGGAACATACGCGGGTTTTTTTTAATGCAACGATTACACTGCAGACACCAGCCTTTAGGCGTACGAAGATATATTCGCGACTGTGTTGTGTGTATGTGTGTGTATGTACGTATCTATGTGTGTGAGAAATATCGTGGGACATTCTGTACAGTCACATTTAGATTATTTGTTTTTGTTTTTTTTTTTTTTACAAAATAACTCGTGTGTCGCTAAATTTACACGTTCCAGTCTTCGTCGGGAAACCAAATCGCGCGCGTACGCGCGCAGGTTTACCTCCTCCCCTCTCCGGTTATGCGGTTACCATTAATCGATCAGATATCGCGGAGGGTGGCGATATTGTACCGATTCCGATAAATTGCCGCTCGAGTCCCTTAAATCTCTAGCTTACTGATGCAAGATAATGGATGTTTTTTTTTTTATTATTGATACAAAAATGCTTCGTCAGAGCTTCGCCGCAATTATACAATATATAGTTTCCAGTATAATTTTTTCCAGTAGCCACTATCGAAACACTTGCCTCGCCGCTAAGTTTTTCCACTCTCGAATCGTTCAAGCTCGCGCGCCGGACCACGCGCAACTTCGTAATTTATCTTTTTGATATTTTTTGCGACTCACGATATAAAATGTTTAAACATTTATACATGTTTAAAGCACGAGCATGCACGTTTGAACAATGTAATCTTGAAATTGTTACATCAGCGGCGACGCGAATTTTATCTCTAAGCTATGTATCGCGAATCTCACACAAATGACGAAAAATCGTAAATTACGAGAGTGTGCGCGCGAGATAAGTCCGGCGATAGCTTTACGATTTTCTTGCGATGTTCTATTTTTTTTTTTTTTTTTTTTTTTTTGGGTGTTCCCATAAATCGCAATCTCTACAGTTTTAAAAGTTCAAAATAAATTGTACCTAGTTGTACCTCATGACTACGTCTTTAAAGATTTTATGGACTTGACGGATCTCAAGTGAAGAAGAACTTGACGATCGTGTAATAAACAGTTCCTCAACACATAAAAAGAAATTTTATTTTAATCAATCCACGTAGAAAGCTCTCTCGGTATTTTCTCGTTGGCATTTACAAATTACGCTATTTCGGGATTTTTTTAATTACCGGCGTTTTAAATACATTGGTTGGCTAAGGTCGATTTGATGATGATCACAGTAAGGCGTAGAAAAATGATGAACAAAGATGCGCAAAATAGCAGAAGAGAGAAAAAGAGATCTTATATAATATCGCGACACAGGGTTACCTTGCTAATAAAAGTACTCATTCACACCGTACGCGAGATCTCTGTGTTTTCTATTTAACTGCTTTTTTTTTTTTTTTTTTTTTAAATTAAATATATACGATGTATAAAAAGAAAAACGTACGAATTGCTACATTGATCAAATCGAGAGATTAGATAATATTCGAGTGATTTTATGATCGCACATCAAAGTGTTTTCTTTTCATTCACTCCCCAAAGGAGAGACCGCGGAACAATCACGTTTCTATCAATCGCCGCCGCTCTTTGCAGAAAAAGAAAACGAAAAGAGAAGGAAAAGCTTCAAATATATATTACAATGTACAGTTTGCTCAAGCTCGTTTTTCTGTTTTTTCTTTTTAGTGTGTTTTTCAAATCTCATATAATTTCTTCATTTGAAAAATATCGAGAAAGAATAATAATCTCTTTTTGTTTCGCCGATCAAATAAATTTCAATAAAAAAAAAAAATTATATATATATATATACGAAATACAACACGCAAAAATTATATTTAAACGCAAAAGGGTAATTAATATTCCAGGGTGTTTGGAAAGCAACTTTGTTGAAGTTTCAGCTGTACGTACGCACTCTTTAATTCTACGTCTTTAGTCTTTTCCAAATTCGTTGACGATTCGCCTCTTGTCGGTCACATAATGTGTTCGATTTACACAAGCGTAAAGGAAAAACAAAACGAAACGAAAACACGGCGAATCTTGTCAGGATCAAACGAACTTGGAACTATAAAAAAAAAAAAAAAAGGAAAAGAAAATGAGATGACAATTTACATTGCGTTGTGGGACAATTCTTCATATTTTAGTCGAAATGTGAAGAACATATCAAAAGACTCCCAAGTAACATTTTGAATTGCGAATAGGCTCATTAAATATTATAGAATCCGAATAAGATCACGTCACAAAAATTTCACAAGTTCGCATCGCGCTTCTCTGTTTATGTGCATTATTAAACAGTTAATACTTTGCGTTTTCAAACATCCTGAATACGATAATACATATAGTATAAAAAAGAGGCATAGATAATCGGTTTTGCTAAATGTTACAAAGATATTAATGTTACATCATGTAGACCATAATATAGCACCTCTCGTGTATGTGTGTGTGTATGAGTGTGTGTGTGTATTGATCACGCGCACAGATTTAACACAAAAAACAAGACCGAAGAGAAGGGAGACGTACAAAAGTCAGAATTTTTTACTAAAATTTAAAACAAAAAAAAATATAGTTTCTATTATTATCAGAAGTAAGTAACACAGGCCTGCGAATTTAGCATTTCTGGAAATTTGTTTTTTATTTTGTTTCAGAATGAGAATAATTCAGAGAGCAAAGGCTTTCTCGATAAACCGATAGCTTTCGTATGCTGAATTCGAATGTGACCTCTGCACAAACGCGGTCTTCATTAAATCCTCACGCGACAAAGAAATTCTGAGGTCGGATTCAAATTCAGCAGACAAAAAAAAAATTACTTCGAAAACCATTACTTATTCTCAAGCAAAACACCTCGAGCAAGCCCGCGCTATCATCATCAGACACGCGCGTGTTTTTCGTATATGTATACGTTTTACCTCACAATAATTAAACATTCTCGACGTCTAGACGAAAAAATTGCTGATGCCAAAGCACGGCATAAGAACATATTACATAAAACTCTTCACGAATTCGACGACGAATCTTTTATTATTACGATTACGAGGAACTATATCATCGCTCTTCCATGATGCATAAAATAGTAGAACGCTATTCTCACGACAGTCTCTTATAAGTCGTCGATCGTATACGAAGCCTGGAATTTTTTTTTTTTTTTTTTTTTTATCTGTTGCCATCATTCTCGCAGTATTATTAAAATCACGCAGTATCTATATCTGGCTGAAGAGAAATAAATACATGAAACGCATTTGTTTTTTTTCCAATCTTCAAAGTGTGTAGAGCGAGAGAAGAGAGAGAGAGAGAGAGAAAGAGAGAGACGTCGTTCTCTTACTATACAGAGTTGTATAAATTATTATAAGTTGCTGCCTAATTTAATTTTCTCGGTATGGAAATTCAGTTATAAATTTTAATCGCCTTCTCGAGGTAGTTTATTCGTGAGCGCTTCGGGGCTTTATTGACGTGTTCCAAACCAAGCCAAGGCCTATGCGGCGACGTACCTGTGTTTTTAAAAGCGAATGAGATTTAAACACACATTTAGTTTCTCAATCAATATATCGTGTACACTCTATGCAATATTTTGCTCTGACATGAGAGAAAAAAAGAGAGAGAAAAAGAAAGAAAATTGTGCCTTATGTACTTACTCTGATTGGTATATCTAGGAAGGAAATCGTCGATTTTAATAAGGTAGTCCGGCGAGTCGATTATGAACTGTGGCTTGCCCATCGTCACCACCGCGAACTTAAACTTCAAAGTTTTTTTATGAATTCTCATAAGAGATCAAAAAAGATTAGCTAAAGATGCCTACCTTTTCGAATTCCTTTTCCTGAACTCCGAGTTTCTTTAACAATCTCTCCTTCATTTTGGGAAAAGGTTCACCCTGCAACACCGCGATCATATTTCGTGCATCAAGAGTGGTTGAGTGATTTGAGCGACTTGAGTAATTGAATGAATGAGAATGCGTTTGTTGCTTGCGCGCTTTAAGCGTCAATCTGTCTTTGTCCAATATTTAAAGAGCAATGAAGACGAATCTGACGCTTAAAGCGCGTGAGAATTCAAAGTAAACACACTTTGAATGAAAGTGAACGTATAAATGGGAGGAATGAAATTTGAAAAAATACTCACATTTTTAATCTTGAAAAAGAAGGGTATCCCGAACGTGGAGAAGACATCTTTGTGGAAGTGCGCTACTGGCACCAGCATCTCGCCTTCCGCTAGATTCAACTCGTCCATCGGAACTTCTTCTATCCTGTACAGCTTAGTGCAGGACATGCTTAAGGTGTCTAAAGGTGCATCATCCTCGGGACCAGGTAGAAGTTTGTTGCAATTAATTTCTAACAGCCTTAGTTTGCCTGATCCGTTTTCTGATAGTTCCACTTGCTTCTTAGCCTCCTCGAGCAGAGTAGCAACAGTGCCGTTCTTATTGGGATACAGTATAATCTCCTTCTCTTCCTTAAGCGATGGGCCCACCCATATGCACTTGAATTGTTTCTTATTTTCTAACTCGTTCACTCTAATACTGAGCTGCTGATAAAATAATTTTTTAATTTTTGTCTTACAATATGAAACTAGTTCTTTGAGAGTGCCATCGAATGTACACTTTAAAGGGTGACCGGGCGAATCTTTGTAGCTGAAAAAAAAAAAAATATTTAGCAATGAAAAGCGTGTTTTTTTTTCTTCAAGCAGTTCAATGTAACATCGGAAAAACGCAAATAGAAATTCTCACTTTTGACATTTGAAGAATTGTAAAAGATACGGATCTGTGCCAAGTCGCTGTGCGACAGCTTTTGCCATTTGATCGTACGTCATTCTCAATGACAATTCCATCGTAAAACCTGGATCGTTAGGTATTGTTTTGTCGCAGAATGTAACTTCTACCCTATAGAATAAATCCCTGAAATAAATACAGAATTGTTAGATCAACAAACGTAAAAAATTCTCCAAGATTTATGCCAAGATTTTCAACAGCAAAACCTGTCAAAAAAACGTCAATCTACTAACTTGAAATATTCTCGGCACGTCGGAAGTTCATATATTTCGTTGTCCACTTCCTTTTGGAACACAATAATATCGCCATCCATCAGTTCTTCAAGCACTTTTTCTAAAGGTTCTGTAAGATTATCTATCTTTTCAACTAGATTTGGTTTAATTTCCTCGTACAAGGCTAGTTCTGTGTTAGGTGGGAATCCGGCTCGTTCGTTCAAGATCGGTATAAGCTCCTCTGTGAAAATTTTGTTATCGTAGATTTGTGATATAAACTATTCTTGCACAAAATAGAAGACAGAGAGAAAGAGAAAGAGAAAGAGAGAAAAGGAAAAAAGCGTTCGTTTTTAATATGTTGTATCATATCGAAACTTCAACTTACGGACTTTTGCCACAACAGGCATGTAGTGATGACCGCAGTAATGGATCTTTTTATTTTTTGGATCGTAGAGTTTGAAAAAGAGTAGAACATCGGTATCCTTATCAAAAGGCGGCAGCGCCGTCATATCGGAGTCGGGCGGAACAAGCTCGACGAAGATACTCCAGGGATTGTGATTCTCGGCACAATCAATAATGGGTTTTTGATGATCAGCATCCGCGTCGATTAACGTCGGTCTGCAGGTCTGATTTGACCGCTGACTGAACGGCCAAATACGAATTTGTTCTATCGGATATTTCTGCAGAATAAATTCAACAATATTAGATAATATATTTGGTTTTGTATGTAATGCTTTTTAAATTAAAAAAAAAAAAAAAAAAAAAAGCAAGAATACACCGTTTCTACAAAATCAGTCAATTTTGTAAAGAAGGAATATCTCTATTGCTTATTTTTATAAACATAAAAGAAGTAACTTTTAAACATTTGTATTCTTTTCTTACCTACCGTGACAAAAATATAGTCTAAAGACATCGTTGCACGGCTTATATAAACACGTGTCGAACAAAAATTATATGATCATTACATCTGTATTTTCATTTAGTTCGGTAAATAAATTCTGACGTGTATAAAGCACAAGTTCTGCCGCTAAGTAAATGTGCATAAAGGGAACACCGAAAGCATAATTTGTCTTTGAGAGCTTACTTACCAGACTGTCGCTGAGTAGTTCGAGAAACTCGTGCACAGTGGCCTGCTTACGTACGCGAAACACGCGATATAAAGCGTGTTCTGGGTCGTAGAGATCATTTCCTTGGTGACCGTCAAAGCTATCCTCGAGAAGGACATTAACGGTCATGTACAAGTATGCTTCCGTTCTTTCCTTTCTTCTTATCTGTTCCAGCCTCTTCTCCTCTTGGAGCCTCTCCACCAGCTAGACCAACAAAATTAAAATTATCCACGTGTGTACTCATTTTTCTTTTCTTTTTGCTTTTTTATTAACAAATTTTTCCTCGACTATCTTTTCGAATTGGCACAATTTTGTTCTTTTTCTTTTATTTCTCTTTCTTTTTTTTTTTTTTAGAAAAAAGACTGGTCATTTCTCTCGATCGAGTATCATGCTTTTGAGATTCGAGAACAGATCGTGTTCGAAACGTCAAAAGAATGACGGTGCAATTTTCATTCATGTAATTTTAATTTTGTTCATCTGCCGCTATATCGACTACCAAGTCAAACAATTACACAATGAAAATTATTTGGCGGTGAGTGATGGTTTCCAGTTATTTCTCTTGCTGGCTAATAAATAAAAACAGTCACACAGAGAGAAAGAGAGAGAGTATAATAATAAATAATAGGAATAAATATACATTTGTTAATCAGATACATAAAGTTTACATATATGTGTATGCGTATATGGAATATGCTGAATAAATTATAAATTTATCTTTTTTTTTTCACTGACCAAGTTAATCTATCGTAACTTTAAATTATATTATGTTGTACGTATTTTTTTTTAGCGTCTCTCAATATTCAGCATACTTTATTTTCGAATATATGTAAAAAAAAGATACGTGAATCTTAACGAAACAATGAAGTATATTTGATCAAACAGCTATCTATGTATATGTAATATATACATGCATGAAGAATATACATACCCGTTACAATGCTATATAAACCACCACCCATGCCAAATAATTATAACAATGTAATGTGTAACTATAGTAGTGTGGAGATGCCTTGTAACTTCGGATTTGTCTCGACTTACTCAAGAGAATCATATGACATAGATCAAGAAAAAAAGAAAAAAAGAAAAAAAAGAACAGCGGTATACAAATAAATAAAATTAACGCGAATTTCTGTCTGTGAAATTTTCTAATATGCAACAGTTTATTCGTTATTCTCTTTTTTTTTAATTTTTATATATAAAATAGTGGTGTGTAGAGCATTTAAAGATATTCTCATGATTAAAGCTATTATAAAGTATTTACTATGTCGACGATAAAGAGTTTAGCGTTTTTTTTCCTCCCATCTCTCTATAGTTATTATGTAACAACAAATAAATAGATAGTATCTGTGTCAATGATGATAATTACTATTAAAACGGAGAGAATTTAATGAATTAACGACTTGCGGCTACAGATACTTTACTCTGTAACACGAAGATCTTACTTACTTTGCTCTCATTATTATATGTGTGTGTGTGTGTGTGTATTTATCTATATATATCGACTTTTAAATGTTAGTTCACGAAAAACGCGCGAAGATGAAGATATAAATCACATTACGTTTTTCACTCACTAAACAATCCAGGTAAATAGCAAACGCTAAAGAAGACATATCAAGGAAGCTGATGTTGCTAATGAGTACTACTTATTGATTACCTCTCCTTCCTCACACACGTATATGTATTTATATATATTGCAAGAGCTAAGAAACTCATTAGCTCAAATCAATAGTTATTATAACTCTCACTAATAACTCTCTCGTTTTTTTTTGTTTTGGTTTTTTTTTCTTTTACTTTTCTCTAGAGTTCTCTCTTAATACAATTATTCACACATATCCTCCAATTTTCTGCGATATGTCTGTTCACTTTTCATTCACGATTTCGGCATACTACATACAATACGATTAAATTCAGTTGTGTGTGTGTATGTATATATATATAATATTATACAATATTTGTTACAATAAACATTTTCAAAAAAACAATTCTAAAGACTCATCACGATGTTCAGTCTGATCACGATCAGACTTAAACGATTTCTGTTCGACTTTTCTGAGTATAAGCACTTCCGACAAGAGAGAGTGACAAAAATGCAACATATGTATTTATATTGATCATGAATCGTTCTCGTTTTAATTCCTTTGCGTGGTTATCGATGTAAAAAAATTATATATAAGTTACGATAAGAATAAATAGATCACATGATTCTCACATATGCCGCGGAGCTTGCACTTAAAAAAAATCCTCTGTTAAAAAAAAAAAAAAGAAAAAAAAAAGAAAGAAAAAGCGTTAAAGGCTCGTTCTTCGTGTCGATTTTTGTATATAAAACAAATTCTTGTCGATTTATAAAAACAAATCTCTATATAACATGTATTACAATCGTCCCATCCACGTTACACATGTATATTACAAGCATTACACATATGTATGTGTAATGCTTGTAAAAATCGTTAAGTATGAACCTTTGAATTTTTATGAGAATATTTTAATCGACTCCATTCTAACTTCACAAAACACTCAAATATATATTACATTGTTCTTTAGAAATAAAGAATGTCAAAAAACACACAAAAAATATTGAACTTTTAAATGTTCTTGTATTTAGAAAAAGTGAACATGATTTGCATATTTGTTCGATATAACACAGCACGAAGCTGATAACAATGTGTAAGCCTCTAAAAAAACTTTAAGATTAAATTCAAACTAATCAAAAAATATATAAATAGAAATTTCAATAAAGTATAATTTCGCAAAAAAAGTTCTCTAAAATTTGTGTATATATATAATTAGTATATATATATATACTAATAATGTGTATATATAAAATATTAAAAAGTTTGATATGTAGCAGCCAAAACATTACAACAAGATAGTAATTTAGAATGTAAGTCAAAAATTTAAAAAGTAAAATTTACTTCAGAGAAGAGCAATACGAATTACCAATTGATAAAATTCATTAGCCACTTAATTCTTGCATTTCTCTCTCTCTTTTTTTGTGAAAAGCCTTTACCGGTTAAAAATCATGAATATAGAGATTTGGATTACGAGGATTTTGAGTGCATGGACGAAGAGTCGCGGTCTCTGTGTGCGAGTCTTTGATCGAGTCAGTTGCGTCTTTGTCACGTTCAAGGTCGCTCAACTCCTGGGAAAGCTCTCTTTGAAGGACGTTTCTGACCTCTTGAGGTATATCCTCTTCCTTCACTTCTTGCAAGACGTTTTCCAGCTCTGAATTCTTTATATAAACCAGCATGTACGCGTTGGTGCAATGTTTCACAGCCATCGACATGTCCTCGTCTTGACCACCGTAGTTGTGTTCAATTGCTTCCTGCTTTGTACATCGTGAGACAACATCGTCGTCGAATTTACACCACTGTCAGAGAGAACAAATAGAGCAAACTATTTCAGAGAATGTCACACGTGACATGATAATCTTCGCAAAATCATTATCATAATAAAATGCATTGCTGAAAACTGCAATTATTGGCGTAGAATTAAACAAAGGTGTTTTTTTTTTACCACAGAATTTTTCTACAAAAACATTTCTTGAGACGTTGAATAGTTTATAAAGTATATAAGGAAAAGTCACTTTACATACAAGTTTCACTTCCTAAACCATATTTGAACGTCTTCAACTATCAAAATTTCTCTAAAATTCATTACTTACCTTGCCATCACCAGCGGGATTAATGAATACGACATAATGTCCACCATGATTATCACCACTGTGGACCAAAACTGCGTGTAACGTGTAGTCTGCATTTGTGGCGTCCTTAGTTTGAAGATATTTACCAAGACTAATTTTTTCGTAAAACTCGAACCTTGAAAGGCAAGTTTACGCAATATTATTTTTACGTTAAAAATTAAAATAAAATTCCAATTTTACATAAGATCGCGCGTTTTGTCCATAATATTAAAAAAAACAAAAAAAAAAAACAATCGTGTTGATTATATCAAATAAAGTGAATTATCAGATTTCTCACCTGTCGTTAAATTTAACCGAGCAGTCTGTCACAGGGTCGTACTGAAAACGCATTAGATGTAAGTGTAAAACCGGTGGGAACGAAGAGAAGATAACACCTTTTTCTGCTTCTTGCAATCCGTGTTCCCCCGCATCGTATTTGTTATCGCCGTCAAGACTTTCCGTACTTACATAATCGCTAAAAGACTCGTAAACTAAAAACACAAAGAGTCAAATCGTTTCGTGTCGTTGAAGTGTTACCCGCGAGAAGACTATGAGAGATGGCACAGCATCAATACTCACTGTTCTTTTTGCCTTTTATATTTAACTGTATATCATAAAACGTTTCGACCCTCGTAGATTTGTAGTCTATGTTTTTACACTTGATAAAAGACACCATCTTTCCCTCAAACAGTTTTGGCACCGTACCTTCCACGCATGTTCCTTTCATCTTGCTCTCCAATTTGTCTAGCAGCTGAATTAAAAAAAATAATTTAATTAATTATCAGATAATATAATGAGCTAGCACGTTTTTAATGTTTTCTCTTTTAAAAACATGCACACAGTGTGTAACAAAAATTACTTACCACACGTAGAAATTCTTGAACATCATGCTGCATAAACGAGTCCAACGTTTCCCATCCGAAACTCTTGGTTAATTTCTTTGTGCCGACAGGTTTGTCAGAAAACTGTAACTCGTGAAAGACCCTCTGTAAGGCCAGTGCAACACTCTTACTGGAATCGTCGCTTTCCGTTGGCATTTTGTATACAGCTTTTCGCAACTGGAAGAACAACAAAGTTGTAGAAAACCAAAATATATATATATAAAAAAAACAATTCTTCATATAAATTTTGTGTGACACTCACTTGGTTCGTAAAGTAAAGGGTTTGCAGCAAGGAATTCATATAACATGTAGCACCTTGATTTTTCAAGCCTACATAGCCTGTGTGCTTTTTACTATCCCAGCTGACACCGTGAGGTGCATCAGCTACTACATGAACCTAATTAAAAACACGAATACCTTAACTAACATCGTATTAAATGTAACTTCTACGAAAGGAGCGTAAAATTAGAGTAACTATCAAAGTAGAGTTTCAGTAATATTTGAATATAAACAATTTAGATGAAACAAAAGATAATAAGACAACACACGTTACAATATATTGCACAATATGCAAACCTCAAGTGTGATCGAATCATCTTTTATATAACCCCTTTCGGGATCCAGAACGTCTTGCCATGTCATAAAATGACTGAATCCCCAGTCATTCTCTTTACTATAGAAGAGATGTTGAATTTCTGTAAAAAGTAAAAAATTGTATTACAAGCTACGTATCACAAGTTATGTGTATTACTATATAAAATGACACAGTCATGCATATTTACTTCTGCTAAACGGTTCTTGCATTTCCTTCCACGACAGTAGACGTAGTTCGGCAACGGCGTAGCAACTCCACGATGTAGATTCACTTTCCCCATTACACTGAAGGAAGAATCCAAGCGACCTCTGAGGTTGTCTTTCCTGTGTCTGACTCGTACGAGGCATCACCATTATTTTCCATGGTAAGTTGCGAACGTAACACGCAGGTGATAACTGTGAATCCTTCATCTTGGATACATTCTCGACAGTATAACGAAAAGTAGCTTCTGACCTGGCCTCGTCTATTGTGAGAGAGAGAAAAAGAGAAATTGCTGTTATTTGTCGAAGAACAGAGATTATAAATCTCCACATATACACATATTGAATAAATGTAGAAACACACTCGACATTTCAAATCATCATACCTTCCTCCATTTCTTGGTCCTGTACTATACACGCTAATTCTGGTTCACCATTTATAGGACGGTTGTCAGTTCCGTCTCCTCCACCATCATTTGGGGTTTCTACAAAAGTCACATTTCATTTTTTTTCTCTTCATCATATTACAATCTACCAAATATTAACAATTCAACAGATACGTAGGGAGGAAAGCGGGAGGAAAATTTTTCAAACAACACAGAGAGACAGATATATGTTAACCTTTAAATGTCAAAACATCACGAACAATGTGTGTTCGCACTTCTAAATCAAATCGACAATTTTCAAACACGCATGTGTGCTATGGCTGCAAAATAATGATGCGCATTAAGAAGAAAAGGCAAACGTCACATTTCTGTACAAATTAACGCTGAGACGCTTAGAGAGAGAAAGAGATAAAGTATTTGTGGGTTTACCTAAACGCGCATGGCAATTCTGAAAGATTTGTTTTATCAGAAAATAGAGATTACAATAAATAGAATACTTCATGTAGAATTCTTGACATGTAATCACAGTGCGCAATTGGTAGAAGAAAAGACGAAACCAGCAACAAATCGCATCAAATGAAGATCTCTAATTTGTATAGTTACGTTATAGGTTAATACTCGCGCACTTCGAGCGAATTTTACATCACACGCATTAAAACAATTAATTCTGACAACAAAAGAACAAACAAATTATCCGCAGAACCGTTGTCAGTTTGTCACCGATGTCGCAAAACTTGTACTGACGCGATTAGTCAACAGATGTAGTTGAATATTTTTTTATCAAGGTAAAATAGTCACACAATTATTAATCCGTGAAAAATTTCCGATAATGAAACATACACGCACATATACATGACGTAATACATTACTTGTATCTTCACAATCAGATGTACTCATATCTGTCATGATAGGATTGTTATTTCTTATAATGTGATGTATGGGGAGAGAGCAAGTTGTGATTTCCGAACGTGTGGTGTGGTAATGAGAACATTCGAATGCAATAAAAACTAATAATACAGCCACGTGACTCTTCCGTCGAGAGACGGAGAAACTGCCGTATTTAACGCATAGTCGGGCGATAGGCGGGATTCGGCGTGGAAATTATTTATCAAAATTACGCAAGTTTTCTCTTATTTATAGGTGAGAGAGAGAGAGAGAGAGAGAGAGAGCAAGCATGATCTATATATATCGATAAATAATATAATATCTGTTTCTCCTAATTTATTTATGACGAACTGCTGCTCACGTCGCCTCAAGGTCGATATACAATTGAAAATCTTTGTTTTCCGAAAGGACTGCGAGAAAAACTATCTTTCGTCAAAACAAAAAGAAAAATAAAATCCGAATAAAATTTCTCCGGGAGTAAATTTTTCTCCGCATCGAGCGCGCGCCAATCAAAAAACGGAAAACCGATTGCGAATCCTTAGCTATTATTATCGTGCGACGTGCTAGATGCAACGTGCGAGGAGAACACGCATCGAGAGTCGGATTGTTTCTCGTCGCGTTTCTAACCGCATTTGCACGCGCGCAGAGTTCTCGCATCCGCGAGTTCCTTCTCTAAATAAAGATCTTTCGAGAAGCAAGCCTAAGCCTATCATCGTCCGGAAAAGAAGAAAGAAAATTCGTCAGAAGACTGCAAACGTGCGCGACAAAGAGAGGAGAGAGACCTCTCTTCCCTTCGTCGAAAGCGCTCACGTTTGTGTATGTGGCGGAACGAGACGAAATGAGACGGCTGGATAGATTTTAGAATGAGTGTGAGAGAGAGAGAGAGAGAGAGAGAGAGAGAGAGAGAGAGANAGAGAGAGAGAGACATATATATGTATATATATAGAGAGGAAGTGTGTGTATAAGAGAAAGAGAGGGAGGGAGAGAGAGAGAGAACTGAGATATATATTGAGAAGGTGCACTCACCCTCTTGAGTATCCATTTCCTCGACCTCGTTAACCTGAACTGGCGCGAGGCTGAGTTGCTTGAGGTTTTCCTGATCGTTGACGTGGTTCATCGCGAAGCCGATGTTGATGGTCGTCTTGATGGCGCCGGGTACCTCGGTGACGGCCTCCGCCGTCGAGGTTACCTTATCCGCGTTAATCGGTGTCTGTTGCTGTTGATTGTTACCGGTTGTTAACGCGGCTCGATTCCGATTAGGCGGAGTCGTAGTAACAGTATTAGTAGTAGTAGTTGTTGTTGTCGTTGTTGTCGTCTTAGCGAGTGCTTTTCTACGCTGCGTGGTCAGGTCGCAGGCCCACTTCTCTTGCGAATGTTGCCTCTGCGGATGTGGCGATTGCTGCTGTTGCTGCTGATCCACCGTTTCCACCCCACGACCGCTATCGAAATCCACGTCGTTACCGGGACTCGACAGCGATGTCGCTTTACCGCATTTACCGCACTCCGACGATAGATGTTTGCTCGCAGTTCGCCCAATTTCTGCGGCCATCAAGTGCCCCCACTCGCACGGGGGACGCCCACAGCATATATTCCACCCTTGTGTGTTGCACGAATCTAAGGTACGAAGTGCTCCTTCACGTTTTACGGAGCGTCGCCACGAATCGCTGCGCTGCGACTATCCTTCGCGACGACAGGGCAGTAGCGACGACGACGGCGATGTTCCGCGGCAATGTTTGCGACCGATGTTTGTGATGGTGCGCTGTTCTACCACTAACCGAGCAGCAGTGGTGGTACAGTGTGGTGGATGACAGTGATGGTGTTAGTGGCGACGGCGACGGCAGCGACGATCGTCGTGTCTCTCGCCTCTCGTTCCGGCGCCTGGCGCGCACACCGACCTGCTCCTCTTCTTTTCCCCCCTCCCGCTCCTGTATCGCCGATCCTCTCGGAAAATGCGCTTTTCTCTTCCGAGATGCGCGTTTTTACCGGCGCGGATCAACGTCGACCACGCCGACGACGGTCGTCCCCCTTTGCCCGACCGCGGATACGGCGGACGCGCGATTCTTGGTTACCTCCCGCTCTAACACAATCTATCCTCGTTCCAGGCTGATCTCGCGCGCGCGAAATCCTGTCGTCGCCGCCACGAAATCTCGATCGTGTTTCACCGACACTCTCGATCGACTCACCCGCGCACGACTTCCGGTTTCGCGTATATGTGTAAACCCACCTGTACCCTCGTAGTGGACTCTTCTTGGTACTCTCTCCTTGTCTTTCTCTCTCCCTCTGTCTGTCTGTGTCTCTCTCTTTCGTTCAAGACCCGGCTGGACGCTGTGCTTCGACAGCACAGGAAATTCCCGCTGGCCGATCCCGTATACCGCGATCGTTGCTCGCGGATCACGCGAAAATAAACAAAATGGCGGCAAGTGCAGCAGCGGCGCACAGTTGAGATGTGTTGTCGCTCGCAAACTCCACGGACTAACCGATCCGACATAGACAATCCGTCCGTAGAAAAAATGTACGACGGATCGGTTTATAGATGGCGAATATATCTACACTCGGTAGGGTGGGGGGACTGCGTTCCGAAAATGACCAGTGCTGCAAACACGGTGAACGAATAGATTTTCAGTGTTGGCAGTGAGATTCGGAACGCGTCCGTCGTTTTAGAAAGAGCAGGATGGAACGGAGAGCGGGAAAATGGAGGAAGGTACAAAACACTTGGCTCGATACAAAATCGAGAGACAATCGTCATCGCGACATCATCAGGCGGATTTAAACATTCCAGCGACGTTTAACTTTTTATTTAAACATATAAGCACATGGTTGAATACACATAAATCGAGTACACGTAAACAATCGAGAATATGGCACTTTGTTCGGTAAATACACAATAAAAATTCAATTTTCTGTTCTGTGTCTGTTTTTTTTTGTTTTTTATTGCATAAAACAAAACAAAGAGTTGTGCTTTGTGCTTTTGCAAGTAGGGATTGTTTCGCCAAACTGTCCATAGACGCTCCCGTCGTGTTACAGAAGTAACGATCTTTCTTTTTGGACAAAGCATCGTGCAACGTTGAGCGTGGCTTTGTGATGTATTGGCGCGCTTTTAATGGAATCCGGTCAATGTCTCATGGAGCTCGTGGGCAAGGTGCATCAGCTACTACATGAACCTAATTAAAATCAACGAATACCTTAACTAACATCGCATTAAATGTAACTTCTACGAAAGGAGCGTAAAATTAGAGTAACTATCAAAGTAGAGTTTCAGTAAATATTTGAATATACACAATTTAGATGAAACAAAAGATAATAAGACAACACACGTTACAGTATATTGCACAATATGCAAACCTCAAGTGTGATCGAATCATCTTTTATATAACCCCTTTTGGGATCCAGAACGTCTTGCCATGTCATAAAATGACTGAATCCCCAGTCATTCTCTTCACTATAGAAAAGATGTTCAATTTCTGTAAAAAGTAAAAAATTGTATTACAAGCTACGTATCACAAGTTATGTGTATTACCATATAAAATGACAGTCATGCATATTTACTTCTGATAAATGGTTCTTGCATTTTTTTCCACGACAGTAGACGTAGTTCGGCAACGGCGTAGCAACTCCACGATGTAGATTTACTTTCCCCATTACACTGAAGGAAGAATCCAAGCGACCTCTGAGGTTGTCTTTCCTGTGTCTGACTCGTACGAGGCATCACCAATATTTTCCATGGTAAGTTGCGAACGTAACACGCAGGCGAGAACTGTGAATCCTTCATCTTGGATACATTCTCGACAGTATAACGAAAAGTAGCTTCTGACCTGGCCTCGTCTAATGTGAGAGAGAAGAAAAGAGAAGTTGCTGTTATTTGTCAAAGAACAGAGATTATAAATCTCCACATATACACATATTGAATAAATGTAGAAACACACTCGACATTTCAAATCATCATACCTTCCTCCATTTCTTGGTCCTGTACTGTACACACTAATTCTTGTTCACCATTTATAGGACGGTTGTCAGTTCCGTCTCCTCCACCATCATTTGGGGTTTCTACAAAAGTCACATTTCTTTTTTTTCTCTTCATCATATTACAATCTACCAAATATTAAAAATTCAACAAATACGTGGGGAGAAACTGACGTATTTAACGCATAGTCGGGCGATAGGCGGGATTCAATGTGGGAATTATTTATCAAAATTACCCGCAAGTTTCCTCTTATTATTTTCTCTTATTTATAAATGTGAGAGAGTGAGAGAAAGAGATAGAGAGCGAGCATGGTCTATATATATATCGATAAATAATATAATATCTGTTGTTCCTAATTTATTTATGACAAACTGCTGCTCACGTCGCCTCAAGCAAATCCTTAGCTATTATTATCGTGCAACGTGCTAGATACAACGTGCGAGGAGAGCACGCATCGAGTCGGATTGTTCCTCGTCGCGTTCCTAACCGCATTTGCACGCGCGCAGAGTTCTCGTATCCGAGAGTTCCTTTTCTAAATAAAGATCTTTCGAGAAGCCTAAACCTATCATCGTCCGGAAAAAAAGAAAGAAAATTCGTCAAAAGACTGCAAACGTGCGCGACAAAGAGAGGAGAAAGACCTCTCTTCCCTTTGTCGAAAGCGCTCACCTTTGTGTATGTGGCGGAACGAGACGAAATGAGACGGCTGGATAGATTTTAGAATGAGAGAGAGAGAGAGAGAGACATATATATGTATATATAGAGAGGAAGGTGTGTGAAAGAGAGAGAGAGAACTGAGATATATATTGAGAAGGTGCACTCACCCTCTTGAGTACTCATTTCCTCGACTTCGTCAACCAGAATTGGCGCGGGGCTGTCTATCTTGAGGTTTTCCTGATCGTTGACATCGTTCATCGCTAAGCCGCTATTGATGGTCGTCTTGATGACGCCGGGTACCTCGGTGACGGCCGCCGTCGAGGTTACCTTATCCGCGTTAATCGGTGTCTGTTGCTGTTGATTGTTACCGATTGTTAGCGCGGCTCGATTCTGATTATAGCTAGTCTACAATAAAGGTAGTAAGGCTAGGAATAAACTATTGTTCGGTAAAGAAACGACGGGAATAACGAAATAGGCAATTCCCATTTCGCACTGCCTACTGCCTTACTGTTAGCCAATGGAAGATGCGTGTCAAAAACCGCGAAATAATTACTTGTAGAAATAAAAATCAAATAACTCCAAGAATCTTAGTTCTTACTCTATACTACCTACTCCCATTGTAGACGGCTCTTTAGGCGGAGTCGTAGTAACAGTAGTAGTAGTAGTTGTTGTTGTTGTTGTCGTCGTTTTAGCGAGTGCTTTTCTACTCTGCGTGGTCAGGTCGCAGGCCCACTTCTCTTGCGAATGTGACGATTGCTGCTGTTGCTGCTGATCCACCGTTTCCAACCCACGACCGCTATCGAAATCCACGTCGCTACCGGGACTCGACAGCGACGTTGCTTTACCGCATTTACCGCACTCCGACGATAGATGTTTGCTCACAGTTCGCCCAATTTCTGCGACCATCAACTGCTCCCACTCGCACGGGGGACGCCCACAGCATATATTCCACATGTAAGAAAGAATAATTGGTAATTATTTAGAAAGGGAACTTTCTCTCACCGATTTCAATGAGCTTTTGAAATATCTTGTTAAGAACGTTTATTCTGAACAACTGTTGCCTATGCATGTTACCGCCGGTCGGCTTTAGTTTTCGAGTTATGAACAAACGAATTTTCATAATTGAATATTTGTTTTGGTAAATATTTACAAAAGGTCACCCAAATGAGTTTGACAAATGTTGTCAAGGACACCTTCCTGAGTAACAATCAAAAGATTTTAGCCATCGCTCGTTGTTTATTAAAAAGTTAATAACAAAAAAAGTTTTATAAATAATCTCTTATTTTTCTCAACACGGCCCACTACATTCAATCCACTGCCGTTTAAACCGCAAAATTGATCGCGTTCAGTACCAAAAATTATATATTCTCGCGGAATATATCGTTCTTTAATCAAACAAATCAGATTTCCTGTGTCAATTAACGCGTTACAGATAATCTTAAAACTGCTTTCTTTATTACTTATCTGTAATTCTACTTTTCGCTGAAAATCTTCGTCTTCTCGTTGCCCTTGGGTTATCAAGTTGATGCTTTCCGTTGAGGTGTTGCACTGATTCGCTCGGTGTCCAAATTTTCCGCACGTGAAACAAGATCCTCGCTCCCTCTTCTCCTTCTTGCACTCTGCTGCAAAATGTCCGTGTTCATTGCAATTGTAGCACTTTCGTGAGTCTGCTTCTTTAGACTGTCGCTGCTCCGATTCCTGCTTGCTGCTTCCCGAGGTCTGGTTTCCACGAGGTTGAGAAAACGGCTTACGCTGAGGTCCTTTAGGCGCCGGGACGTTTGCAAACGCGGTCAACATTGCGTCTATCGAATGATAGCGCTGCACTTTTGCCTGTGTGCGCAACTCTTGATTCGGGATACCCTCGACAATGTAGCTGATAATTTCAGTTTCAGATTCGACCGGCACTCGATTTGCAAGCATCACCTTGTCGTGTAAATAATCTGCGAAAGTCTCGCCAGTTTTCCACACTCTTGCTTCCAGTTGGCGTCGTAAAGTAAGCTGATCTGGTCGCTGTCCATAAATTTTCTTGAGTTCGCGTAGAAGTTGGTCGCAACTTAATTCCACACAATCGACTCTCGAATGATACCACTTCAGAGCTTTGCCGGTCAGTCTGTTGCATACCAACGCCTTAGCTTCATGATCATTCAGATCGTACGCAGAGAGTAATTTTCTTGTCTGCTTCTCCCACAGGTCAAAATCACGGTTGTTTCCATTATATTCGCCAACTAGGTTCTTGAGATCTCGCCACTTTTTCGTGCTGGCTCGGGCAGACAAGGTTTCGTCCGTACGATGCGTCGCTCGCAAGAGTTCTAATTCTCTTCTCAACAGCTCTACTTCACGTACAGCCAAATCTTTTTCCCTCTGCAGCAGTTCGATCTCGCGGGCGGATACCGTCAACTGCGCATTTGCTCCCTGCAGAAATTCTTTATAAGACGGCGTTTCTCGTGCCTCACTTGAAACACAACCAGACAACTCTTCTAGCGGAACTCCTGCTTCCAGCAGCCGTGTGATCAGCTCGAACTTCGACCCGATTGTTGGCAAATTCTTTTCCTTTAATTTCTCCTTGAGATCCGCCATCGTAAGCATCGTAAGAAAGCTCATCTTAATTTGTTCCTTAAATCTCGTTTCGCTGTATCACTCGTTGTCCAGATTGCACAAAGTGCGGAGATCGGACTCGTAATGCAACTATTCTTTTCGTTTTCAATTCGTAAATGCCAGAATCAATACTGATAACTGATGCCGCCTCATAAACAGAAATCCGTAAATTTTCCATAAAATTTGATTCTTCTTAACGCGCGACCGTTACGCAACCACTAAAATCACGCCTAAATAGATGGCGACTATATCTACACTCGATAGGGGGGGGACTGCGTTCCGAAAATGGCCAGTGCTGAAAACACGGTGCGCGCACGTGCACGAATAGAGCTGCGTTCCGTTTCACGCATATGCGCACATTTTTCTATACTATACGTTACGTGTAACTATAGATACATGCGCGCATATGCGTGAAACGGAACGCAGCCTAGATTTTCAGTTTTGGCAGTGAGTTTCGGAACGCGTCCGTCGTTCTAGAAAGAGGGTGCGTTCACTTTGGACGCTTACGCGCTTTAAGCGTCAGTCTGTCTTTATTGTTGTTTAAATATAGAACAAAGATAGACTGACGCTCAAAGCGCGTAAGCGCCCAAAGTGAACGCACCCAGAGCAGAGATGCCAGTTTGCGGACGCTAGCAGCATGCTCAGCAAGTAGAGGGGATACACAGACAAAACGCACACAGGCGAACAGCCGTGTACGTGTGCGCTCAGCGCCTCGGCGAGTGGCTGCTTGCTTGTGTGCGTGTCCCCTCTACTTGCTGCAGCATGTTGCTAGCGTCCGCAAACTGGCATCTCTGACCCAGAGTAGGATGGAACGGAGAGCGGGAAAATGGTGGAAGGTACAAAACACTTGGCTCGATACAAAATCGAAAGACAATCGTCATCGCGACATCATCAGGCGGATTTAAACATTCCAGCGACGTTTAACTCTTTATTTAAACATATAAGCACATGGTTGAACATACATAAATCGAGTACACGTAAACAATCGAGTATATGAAACTTTGTTCGGTAGATACACAATAAAAATTCAATTTTCTGTTCTGTGTCTGTTTTTTTGTTTTGTTTTTTATTGCATAAAACAAAACAAAGAGTTGTGCTTTGTGCTTTTGACTTAAGAGACAGTTGCATCGAGTCACAGATGTGCGGTTTGAAAATCGTATCACAGATACAACAAGAGTTTTTTTCTTCAAGACAGTGCGAGTGGTGTTACTCAGATGCAAGAATTGCATAAAATCATGTACATATACGTAAGTTTAAATAATTCTTCACTTAACGAGCGCATTAAATTGAAACCCGCGCCGATACACATAATGCAAAAACAATTGTATCGGTTCAAGAGTATGATTACGGAAAAATATATAATCGCAACGTATCGAGTTATCGTGCTGCTTGTGTCGTTATACTTCTATATAGTTGGAGTGGAGATCTCTCAATCGGAGCACCATCAATTAAGACTTACAAGCACACACAGATCAAGCACATAATTTACATAGGTAACAATTTAGATAAGGCATGGTTTAAGGCAACCTGCTCAGTAGACCTAAAGATCTTAACAATTTGTTTTTACATAGTCGTCGCTTCGTGTAGAAGACTCAGAATTAGTATGCAAAAAGACGTTTTTGTTTTTAGGCACCTCAATTGGCAACCTGTCTGTATGATTAAAGAAGGAGTTATTATATCACAAGTCACTAAAAGTTATTCACCCGATGCGCATAACGTGAAACGTCACAGTCGAGACACATGTAAAAACATTTTAGTTGTTTTATTTTTCTTTTTTTTTTCCCCCACAGAATTAAGATTTCAATTCTTTGATTGTTTGTCCGGGAAGCGGCGGTATGTCCTCTCCGGAAACATGTATATACTATATATATATACACAGTAAAAAATTGTGCGTCAAAATGTAGAACTTTTCTTGTGTTACGACGTTTTGATTATTACTTCAATGTAAAATTAACATAATACTGATATGTTATTATTTTTTTAATCTTTTCACGTGTCAAATTTATGTTAACTTCACA